TTAAGTAGGGGCTTATAATATCCATACACAGTAGAATATCTGCAGTAAGAGCATAGTGTAGCCTACGTCATTTTGGGACTCAACTTATGTTCTCCCCACATGCAACTAACTCAACATATGGGTATAACTGGTGGTGTGATATTGCCCCCTGTCTGATTTAGGACAGGGCACACTTGTTGACTGCTATGTTGGTGCAAAATATTCCCCAGATGCCACAGCATTGTTTGCTTTAAAGTTTTCGCACATGTGCCATTGACACACTACCACATTGTTTTTAAGCCACGGAGCAGTGAGAACCAAATTGGGTCAGTTAGGATGCAAGTTGAAGATGGTAATTATTAAAATAAATATTTTTTAAAATATTTTGTTTTCCTTAAAAAAAACCCACAAGGCTTTGCAAATATGTAAACTGACACATTTCATATTTTAATTTCTTACCTTAGTATAATAAATTATTGTTTTATTGAATAACAGTTCTAACTCAATCATATAACATAAATCATAGCCTAATATCTTGACACTATATTTCTGTCAATACAAAAAGTTAAAAAATATTGAAAACCACTGAAATAGAGTCAGCTAAATAAACACATTGCCAAACATTTCCGAGGTGCCTTACGGTGGCGTCAGAACATAAGATATATTACGCAGTTCACTTCGGGTATGCAATAAGCTGTCAAAATCAGTCGACTTTTCAAACCTTCTATATGACAACAGTCATTCTGCACTAAAGTGGTGAACTTTGAGCGTCAGCACCCGGAAGCGTGTTGTTTTATTGTCACATGGCTTGAAGATTTCAATAACAACAAAAAATGGCGACAATCACGTTGTTCGCTGTAAGGCGCTTGCTGCGTCATTAAAAATATTCACGTAAACACGGGAGTTCAGCGTTGAAAATGCAAGTAAGTACTTTTGCAGTCGGTAGAATAATACATCTGTCTAACTGTGATGGTTATATTACATGAATGATTTTTTTTTTACCTTAGAAGTACGTGGTGTTTGTTTTTGCCATGAGAGGGGTGTGTGCGCGCGCTGTTGGGCGTTAGCGCGCACCAGTTACTCTAAAATAAGACGACTCGCAAGATATAAGACTATAAAACGAATCGACATTGCAAGTAGAACAGCTATGTACACGCAGACTATGTAAGATACTTGTTGTGATATTATTATGACACGACCATGTAATACCTTTTCGTGTGATAACTTGTGTTTAATTATTGCATACTCACTTTATGACGTTTTAACGGGCTTTTTGGTCAAACTCATCCTGTATTCATGTATAGCTTAAAAGATATGCCTCGGATGAATTACTTTTATTTAAAACTGTAGTTTCATACAGCAAACATTTTCCCATGAGAAGTCGCAACACACTATAACAGTGAAAATACTCCCGTTTTAACCCATTGAAATGTTTTTCTTTCCTTTTTCACCAAAACAGCCGCTATAGGAATGTTAGGCAGATTTTTTTTTTTCAATTATTTGGCAGGCGTTTCCACTGTCCTGAGATGGCAAACACGACGCGCTGATGGAGTTGTTTACAAGAAGAGATTCGCACGGAGGGCGGGGATGATGTGGGCGGAGTTTGAGGGAGGAGCCCCCAAATACTAGAGCAAAGCATAGAAGGTGGAGTCAGAGTTACCATAACAAGTCTGGCGTCACAGGGGCGCTGTGTATGAATAATTAAAAGGAAGGTATTTAACCTCTTGCTGTCAGATAGGGAGTTGTCATTTAATGCAGTGTATCCAGTGAAAATATGGCATGAAGTTACAATTTCTGCTATAGCTACACATAATAAGTTATGTTTAATAATACATTGCTTCATCTAGCCTACTCATTTCTATAATGTATACAGTTGGAAATTGAAGGTTTAATTAGCCTATGTTATATATCATTTGGTATATTTTGAATACAGCGAAAATCTAAATATCAGAGATAAATCGGGAATTTCCAAAGTCAAATTTGTTATCCCTGATTGAACGTGGTGGATGAGAAGATGCCTGAAGCACTACCGCCCTGGATCTGCTTGATGTGACAGGCTGCCCTGGTTCAGTTATCACAGTGCTGATGCTGTCCATCTTAAAGGTACAGTACTGTGATAACTGAAGGATGGCTGCCATCTTGACATCTGGCCCCATAAAAAGTTTTATTTTTTATTTTTAACAGGTGAGTAAGAGATAAATGACAAGAGAATGAACAAAACAATACAATCTAATAAAGAGAATTGCAATCCTGTATTCATTTTAAAAAAATGTGTCAAACTGATTGCTTTCTAATTTCATATATTAAATTCTGCACATATTATGGTAGCATATGTCATCAGTCTATTGTTAAAGTATATCCTCCTAGTAAAACGTTTTGACATTCACTTTAATATTACAGATGCTTTGAGAAATAAGAAAAAAAATTAAAATATTTTATTCACATTTCCTTGTATTTCCTGTAGACATCAGAAACCATAAAGTAAATAAAGCTTTTTTGCTAAAACACTTTGCTTTTCTGTTTGCATTTAAAAAAATTAATTAATTAATTAATTAATTAATGTATCCTCTGTAATGTGATATAATGAAATGTTGAAAGTTAAGGATTTATATTTTTATGCACACTAGTATACATATGAATTATTTAATAGCTATTTAATCTAAATGTACTCTTACAATAAACATTTGCAATCAAACCTTGCACATATTAGTTGTATATTAAGATATTACAAAATCTATATGTTACAAAATTAGTTAAGTATATACTTCCTTATGTCTTATGCAAACTTGTGTAAATATTGTCAGAAATGGGAATTCATACGAATAAGGCGAACTGTATACAAAAAGAGATGTTTACTTGCATGAAACAGTTTAAAATTAAACATAAGTTAAATAATGCTGCCTTTTCTCAAAATTGTTAGCTTTTGTAACCTTATAAATGTCTTTACTGTCACTTTTGATCAATTGATTGGATTCTTGCTGAACAACATTATATTTATTTCTTTCCAATTAAAAAGCTGTTCATCAAATAATCCTTTAAAAATGTACAAAACGTTTTTCAACATTGATAATCAAAATTGTTTAGCAGCAAATTGTTTAGCAGCAAATCAGCAATAATTCATATGACACTGAATACTGGAATAATGATTGCTGAAAATTCAGCTTTCACCATCAAATATTTTAACTTTAATATAAAATATATTAAAATAGAAAACAGTTATTTTAAATTGCAATAATGTCACAATATTACATTATTATAATATTAAATTTTTACTGTATATTGTATCAAATATATGCAGCCCTGTTATAAGAGAGTTATTTTAAAACATTAAAAAAATCTTACAGATATGAAACTTTGGAATAGTTTGTGTGTGTTTTGATTGTGTATATACATTTATTTAACATTTTTAAGAATTAGTTTCTGAAAACTGTATTATGTTCATAACATTTGAATGCAATGCAAACCATAAAGTTTTAAAATATATAGTACGATTACAGTGTATCACTTTTAATATAATCACAGAATGTCAATATGATGTTAGTAATTTAGCCCCATGCACTATTCTCTGACACTTTAAACTGATTCATCTACTCATTTTGTAATGATACAAAGGTTGATAAGGTTAGTAATCGGTTAATGTGATGCATGAAAATGCAACTAAAAAATATACGAATTTCTTGGTCTTTTTTAATTGGATGCTTACATATCTGATGTTTACATATGATCTGTTATCTAAATATTTGTTTTTTCTGACCCCATAAAGTTTTTCTTCAGATCTATGAAAAATGCAATGCATAGATTTTAGTTGAGTGCTTATGGCAGTATTGCACGTAGACTCATCGTCACCTACCAATTATGGTGTATGACTCATCCAACGATAGGAGTTTCCAACTGGACCTTCACTCCCCCTCAGTGTTTAAGTATCATTATCAACACATCTTAAAACACAGCATAAGATGATTGTCTTATAATTGCATTTTCTGTCAGCATATTATATGTAGGCTAAATGGTGATACTGCATATAGACAATTAAAATATTATTTAATAGGTGCATATAGTCATTTTACATTTAAAACATTTCAAGATCAAATATAGCCTACACAGTCTGATATTGTCTGTCCGAACCTCTTTAGAACTTATTGATCAGCCACATTCTCCCAGTGTGCTCTCTGCAGTGCACAGCCCACAGTTTCTGGCAACTCATCTGATGGTGTGGACGGGAAGTCCCTCCCTCCCCTCCATGGCAGGCTTAAACCTCTTGGTCTTAAAGACCTTCATGAATAGCCGTGTAATCAGAGAGGACTTTGTTTGTTGCTGATCTCTATTTTAAAAACACAGACATTGTTTAATGCGGAAACAGTGGCACGTACATGCTTGATGAAATATTAGGACTTAATGTAGAAAAATAAATAAATAAAAGAAGTTGAAGATTGTTATCTACTGGTTACAAATGTATCATTTAATTAACATTAAATGTTTTTTTTAATAATAGACCATTTGTATTGCTGCTGTCTAAATTATTTATTATTTATTCATCTGTGAAACTTAGCTAGATAAAATATAACGATAGCAATGTCTAACCATTACATTTAATTTAGCCCATTACTAATCGATTATGGCCTTTTAAATAGTACGTAACATGCAAAATGTATTTTAATCGTAGGCTATGGCACATTTAGCTTACCTAAAGTTTTATTTAATATTTAAAATTAATTAGTTTAATATTAGTTTATTATTAGTTTAATAATAATATTATTATTTAGTTGAAATTATTTTTACATCACGTCAATACTCACAGGATTAACACTAACTGTGAGTTTAATCGCATGTATCATAGTAAATGGTCTTAACTGTATACGGAGGCTGTCTATAACAAAAAAAAAAAAAAAAAAAAAAAAAAAAAAATCCACCAGCTTAATCTCCGCCCAGGGGTTAATGTCATTGGTTAGGTTTTGATTGACAGCAGTATGAGCCAATAGGCAACGCGTGACAGGGCTCGTCGTTACCCTATTTTCGGGAATGTGGTCGAGGCTTGACTGGAAAGGTTAGTTGATCATGAAGACTTAACCACGGTTTGTTCCATTTTAAAGTGAAGTTTGTTTTGAAAATTAACCTCGCGGGATAAATCCTATATCATCGGAGAACATTTTGGAGTTAAATAACGTGTGCTTTACATCAACAAAATACCAAGAGGAAGTGTTCAAACGTCTGTAATGATCGAAATTTAACGGAAGTAACGTTAGCTTCGCCTGACGAGGTAAGGACGAGGGCCGTAACTCTTCACATCCTGGCTGATCTCTGGGGGTTGTTTATATGTGTTTTCTTTTCATGTGCGATGTTTCTAAGTTGTTGCGAGACGCTCTTTTATTAGTTTGTGTATGGTTAACTTACTGGTAAACATGTCGAGCATAGTATTCAAGGAGTAACGTTAGGCATTTGAGTCTAAAGAACATAATCTGCAATCATTGGACAAATTTTAGATGATAATAATGCTGTCAACTTGAAACTATGGGTAATAATCTACTTGTGGTCGATAAGGAATGTTTTTAGAGACTGCTTGATGGTGAACGGCTGTAAAATAGTTTCTTGAATAATAATAATAATAATAAATAAGAAGCCTAGCCAGACATGCGCGAAATTGAAGTTGTAAAAAAGAACCTTAGTTTTTTGTTCTATTGTAGAAACTTGTTAAACATTGATATTATTGTTGCTGTACAGTAGTTAAATGGTTAAACTTGTTCTTCTTGTGACTGCAGTTTTGTCGATATAAATCTGAACACTTGTACACAGTTATCACGAACTGTATGTTTGCTGAACAAAAGTGCGTAGGGTTGAAGTAACTGTTAAGCTATATTGATGATCGGCCGTGGCTGATTATTTTTGTGAATTGAAATGCAAAAGATTGTCTTTAAAACAATAATAAATAAACAACCTATATCGTAGTATGCTGTTATGAACACATAAGGCACATTAATAATATTTAATTTAAAAATATTAGTTTTCATATTTGTTTTGGGGCTTTGTCTTGGAAAACCATGGTAACATTTAAAAATGGATCACTAATTACGCTTTAACGTGTGAATATTGGTTAAAAATGGCTATCTCTTCATGTAACGCACTCTATCAAGTCTTATTGGCCGTCAGCATCAGTTCGATCAGATCACATTCTGTTTAATTCATTTAAACGATCATGGAATTTAGTAATGGCTACTCTTATAAAATCATTTTTCAATCTGTCTGTTAACCCAAAGCTGTTGAATTGTGGTTGTCTTGACATATTTGATGATTTCTAAGAGTAACTTAAAATTTCCCCTTGTCTCTAAAAAATACATCAACTGAATGTTTCCAAGTAACAGGGACCACAACAGTATGCTATTCTTCTGCTACAGTTTGATTATGTCATCCGGACAATTTCATGCTAGTAATCTGATGCGGTATGGACAAAAGTGACTCTTTGGAAGATATTCAGTTCAGAGGTGTTAGTGGGGAATCCCTTTTAAATAAGAGTACTAATCCTTCTCTCTCATAAAGAAAAACATTTGTAGTATGTTTCTTTCTTGTTTTCTTTTTAATTTTTGTAAATTTTTATAATTTGCTAAAAAATGTCAAAATTAAGACCTTTAATTCCCATTAAATTGCAGTACTAGCCACTTACAAATATGAGTTACAGCTAAGGCTGTGCGATATGGACAGAAAATACTGCCACGATTTTTTAATAAATAGTGTGATTTTCTATTTTAATCACAAGTTTAAAACAATATTTCCTTAACTTGTCTTGTAGTATTTTTTGTCACAACACCAGCTATGACAATATTTGCATGGACCATATCTTTACATAAATTATATGTAACGGTGTCGTTAGGCTATTTCTTTATGCCCCTTTGAACATTTTCCTTGTTTTGCAGTTCACAATTGCCTGTATTGATGATTTTTGTTCATCTGGTTGGGAATATGACATTACTTTTCTATTTAAATACGCTAGGTGGACGTCTTTAACCGTTGCTCTTGCGTCGTTTGCAGCATGTTGTGTGAATGACATGGAATTCAGGGATGCTCAAGGTAAAATAAGTTTCAAAAAACACATCTCTGGACCTGCGTCTCATGTTTTAACCACAAAAACAAGTTCTGTTTGAATGGCCCCCCTACTTCTGCCGTAATGATAGTTTGACAGGTCAAATTACCTGGCTCTGTGACGCATCATCGCTGTGTCTGAAATCAAATGTTTTAGTAGGTGAAAAACAATACGCCAAAAGAGTAGTAGTCTATGTCCTAAATTCATAGTAATCAATAAACAGTGATGTCCACGGATGACCTAAGGCCTACGTCCTCTGAGATTCTGAAGTGCGCATTCAGACACTTTACGATCTCATGAGGCCACAGGATTTATGAATGTCAGTGAAGCGACACAACTGACATGGTTAGCTCACGTGACAGTTAGGGCTGGTCCGAATACCATTTTTTTAGCTTCAAAGCTTCGGTACTATTGAACATCGAATATTCGAAGCTTCGAAATCTCTATTGCCTATGTCTGTCCTTTTGCATTTTGATTATTTCGAGAACTGTTCATCCAAACGATTTTACAAAGTGCACATATTTAGTGCAATATAGATAGACAGGTGAGACGCAACTTGTTAAGAATGACTAAACTTTTTGATAAAGTACAGAACAGAAAGAGTGCTTACTTAAGGGTCTGTTAACTTAAGCAGTGTTTTTAAGGTAGTCTAATATATTATTCTCACTAACAAATAACTTGCAATGTAGGGTAGATTTAAATAAAGAAATCTCACGCGAGCAGGGATTATGCTCCGAGAACAGACACTGCTCTAGTGATATAAAACAACGCACACACACAGGTCTTAAGCAACTTAAACTTAAGCAATATTTTTAATGAGGTATAGTCCTATAATATTTTTCACACTGACAAAGTAAGGTAGATTTAAATAAGTAAAAACGAAATTTAAATAAATAAAAAAACGAAATTTTAATAAATAAAAACGAAATTTAAATATAGAGAAACGAAATTTAAGTAAAGAAAAACGAAATTGTGACATGACATCCCAGTAAAATCTCGAAGTCTCCTATATTTCGCAGTAGATTCGTTTAGATTGATAATAATGGGTAAAGTGGATAATACATTTTGTTTGTATTTTTCTATTTTCCACAATGTCAAAACAACGCAGCTTAACCCAAAATACAAGCTCAGGCATGCACTTCTGTCCAGAGAATACTCCCGTTGCAGGAACACTTTTTATAGTCCTTGTAGAAGTCCTATTTATTAAGTAGCTATAACAAAGTTATTTGTTAAGTATTATATTTCACTAGTTTATATAGTGTAAAATATATTCAAGCGCGAATGAGAACAGTTTCGAAGGGGATTCAGGTGTGAAAAAAAAAAAGAAGAAAAAAAGGCGAATATTCGAATGTCCCATTTTCAAATCGAATACCAACCCACCAAACGAATATTTGGATATTCGGGTCCAGTCCTAGTGACAGTATATGGTGATGTATTCCATCTGAATTTCATTCACAGTACTAATATTCATACTATATGGGGTGCCCAATCCGGCTCCTGCCGATCGACTGTCCTGCACAGTTCATCTCTAACCTTAGTCAAACTCTTTAATTTTCAAATGATCCTGAAGACTTTAATTGGTTGCTTCAGGTGTATTCGATTAGGGTTGGAGATGAACTGTGCAGTACAGTCGATCGGCAGGAGCAGGATTGGGCACCCCTGATATAGAGTGTACCTGTGCAGACAGTACGCAATATTTGACACAGCGAATCTCTCTGTGTCCAAAATATTCCCAACCATGGATGTTGAATTATTATTATTTTTTTTCTTTTGGTCATGGCCTTATCCTGCCCTGAATTCACCTTGCCTGTTGCTGTGCTTTCTTCCATGTGGTAACGGTCTGCTCTGTTCTGTTCTCATGTTAGATTTAGGCCACTGCATTTAGATTGCACACTATGGGGGCTGATGGAAAAAAAATTGTGCTTTCTGCAGTTTAGAAATCGCGTTCATTATGATTAGGTTAATCACAAAGCCCTAATTACAGTTTCATACAAATAAATTGATAAAACAAAAGGTAAGATTCATTTTAAGTCAAGTATTGACCACTCTGGTCTATCTGAAGTTCTCATCCTGATGTGTTAAATAGTCTTGAGAAGATCCTTTTAATGTATTACTGGCCTTTATACAGAACTGCCAAACGAAAAGAAAAACAAACAGATAGTGAGGTGGGTTTAGTCATAATCTGAGGGCAATGAAAAATGTCAAAATCTTTGTGTGGCCATCACTGAACATTGCAAGTGGAGTTTCCCTTTAGAATAGAACATGTTGTTCTGCATAGTGTTCTGCCAGTTAATGTTAATTTGGACTTCATGACAAGAACACCTATTTTTTTTGTAAGATGTCACACATGAATTTAGTTTGCCCAGAGGCAGTTACTATTGAGTAAAAGTTTTTATTCCAGTCATATGCCTCCATACGTGTCAAAACATAACAAGAAGAGAAATTGCGTGCTAAATGAGTTTTTATTTGACAATAAAATAGGCTACTGGAAAATTGAAAAGTATGTGTGAAGTTGTGTGAAGAGTAATGTATATCAGGTATTGATGTATACTGATCAAATAATGTTATTTTTGTTAACTGGTAACAATTACTTTGTAAGAATGATATCAGAAATGTATAATTGTATACATTTTGGGAAATTGTAGATGTTTTCTTTAATCTTAACAATTCATTTGAGATCAATCTTAAGAGTTTCATTTCGCTAGTGTTTCTGCTCAAAGGGTTAAAGAGAAAGATAGCCTTAAAACAGTGTAAATTTGATTTCATAATTGGTAGGATATTACAGATTACAGGATCAGGTAAAATAACAAAATTAAATGATGTTACAATATATTTAATCCATATAATATAGATACAGTAACCTTTGTATTTATAGACTATTGATATAGTAGAATATCCATGACAAAGGAAGCTGTCCATGAAAACTAAACTTACCTCTATGTAAGGTTCATTTGAAAAAGATTTTCACTGTGGTCTCACTGTGTAGAGCAAACAGGATAAAACAGTTACAGCAGGTTTCTGCACCTACATGCGTTTGACGGTCTTTGAGCGGTCTACCAGCTGAAAAGTCGCAGGGTCTAAAGCGTGTTAACCATGACTTTATCAGCGAGCAGCACGTCAGCACCTCAGGAAGTGAAGCCGTGTCAAGTAAACAGAAGAATAGCATTGTGAATCATACCAAAGTAGATGGAGAATCATTTTAACAGCTTGTCAAACTTAGACTTTAGCCCTTCTAAAAGTTGCCAAGATGACTTAGACCTTCTCATAAAATGCAAGTTAAAAAATTATAAAGAAAAGGAACTAAATTGAAGGCTTGTCACTAAACATCTTAATTGATTGCAATGGTTGGCCATTTTACAGACTGGTTGGGGGTGTCAGTAATGGTTCTGTTATGTAAGTCGAGATATCAGCAGAAAAACAAGCTTCTGCATATGGACTTGATTGCAGAGACAAGAGCATCAATCACCGATACTGACTGATGGATGTCTATTGAACTGCAAAACCTTGGGAAACAGCCGTTGGAAAATTTCTGACGAATCGGTTACAAATAAATACCTGAGGGCGATGCTTGACTCTATATAAAAAAAAAAAAATTAAATAACCTCTTTTATTTACTATTCATCTTCAATTTAAGTTTGCGATATTTGCAACCCTATTACCAAAAATTTGGGATATATTGAAATAGTTTGGAACTTGATTTGTCTCAAACTAAAATGAACACAATTAAATAGACGTTTTACACTTACTCAGTAGGGGATTCCTAATTTGGGATCAAATTGTTTTTAAATTTATATTTCCCATATATAAACTAGGGGTGGAACGGTACACAGAAGTCACGGTTCGGTTCATTCCTCGGTTCAGACCTCACGGTTCGGTACAATGGAGGGAAAAGGGATTGTATTTTTTAAATAAGTTTTATTAATAAAGGCATATAACCAGTTAATTTGTAGTGCACTGACAATAGTTTTATATAATTAGCTTATTAATTAAATGAATAAAAAGACAAAAAGACCTGCAATATGTTTGGTAATTGTTCCTGAATTAATTTAAAATTATTTTGCTATTTCAGATCATTATATTTGTTTCCCTTAATTTTAATTAACATTATTAGGCTAATTAACAATGTAACATTATTCTCGTCTGAATTATAAATAATTGATTTCTTGACATTGCAGCCTGTTCATTATGCGGTCACAGCAAACGCGAATAGAGCGCCAAATTCGCGTCTATCGCGTCTAGTTCGACGCTAGTCCAAAGCGAAGATGCGCGTATAAAGTCAACGTTTGAAATAAAGCCAACGTTTGAAAGCCGACGCGCCTTCAGAGCTAGCCGATGGTACAGATTATGTGTCCCTAAAGAACTCGCGCATCTAACAGTAGTTCCGCATTACATGTATTCTTCGTTTAAATTTGTGCACCAAACCGTGACGCCCGTACCGTTTCGGTTCAATACGAATACATGTACCGTTCCACCCCTAATATAAACATTTCCTTTTCGAAGTATTTTTTCTTGTTAGATTTAAAAAAACAAACCCATTTGAACATCACTTTAACATATTAAGCCAATAGTGTGACATGTTGAATGATTTTAATTATCACACACATGCATATCTGAAAGCTCTAACGACAAAGAAATATTTTATTTATACCTATTCTTCTAATGTGTTATAAGTAATGGGACACAACAATTCGTTAAAAAGTACCTTCTGCCCAAGCTGTGAGGTGATGAATGTGGAGTGGATTTGTGATCTCATTATGCTAATATTTCATAAAGCCAAACAGTAGTCTCAGTTTGTTCAGCTTCTTGAATTGACTAAAGCCACTTTAAAGACAATTGTGGTCATTAACTGGTTGAAATTAGATTTCTTCTTCAGCACAGTTTTCTTTTGCATTCATTCATCTCAGGAAAGTCCTTTCACATGCCTGCAGGGATCTTGACATCTAAACACGTCTTGACCTGCAGAGTCTAAAGGGAGATCCACTGAGTCGAAACCATCTGATTCAGATGCGAGAAACGTTCACCTTACCCTCCCTCATGTTCACCGTAGGATGAGTGGTTGAATTAAATCGCTTCATCTGAAGGCGCCTGTAGTGAGGAGGACATCAAATATGTTGTACTTCTATATGGTTAAAGTAAAAGTCTCCAGCTAGACTCAGGTCTTGGCTTTGTCATGGACAGTATAATCAAAGAATATTTCCAATTAAATGGCACATTTTATATTATAATTAAGAAAATGCAAATTGCGGCTTTACCGCATAATAGATTTTTTTTTTTACTTAATAGACTCCATTACAACATGCTGCCTTTTGGTAATATTATGACTGGCTCACTGAGGGGCAGCTACTTTCAAATATTCACATGCATATTCCTGCTCATACGATGTCAATTTGCATTTGTCCTTGCCATGTAAATGCAATCTTATAGACCTTGCGTTGTCTATAATATCATTAATATTAATCAAATTATCATATTGACAAAAAATAAGGGACATTTTCTTTTTTTTATGTGCTCTTTTCTTCAGCAAGGACACATTAAATTGATCAAAAATGACTCAATTTTTACCAATTTAAGGTATCCTGATCCTTGCTAAAAAAAACCCACTTGCTTCTAAATATTACAAAAAGTCTTGAAAAAAATGCATAATTTCCACCAAAATATTAAGCATTTTCAATTGCGCTAAGTGTAATAAATATTTCTTAAGCACCAAATCAGGATTTTAGAATGATTTCTGAAGGATCTTGTGGCAGTAAACATTGTAATAATGGCTTTGTAACTTAAAATAAAAAATGTAACTTTGCCATCAGAAGAATACATTACATTTTAAAATAGTTATTTTAAATTGTAACTATATTTCATAATATACTAGGTTTTTTTAAATCAAATAAATGCTATATTAGTGAGCATAAGATGCTTCTTTCAAAATCAGTCAAATCTATTTTATTATGGTTCATTTAGGCATGATGGGGTTAAATGTAATTGATTTTTTTCAGCATAGTAGGGGCCAACAGTTCATCAATAAATCTGTCTGTTACCTCCTTTTATCTTGCAGTGTCTGGATGCTTAAACCAACAGTCATGGAGCTGGGCAAGCTATGTGGGAAGATGAAAAAACAGAGGAAGGCAGAGATGACTGTTCCGACTGTCAGGAAAGGACTGGAGATCCACTTCTACCTGCCTGAAACACACCAGCTCGAGTATTTCAAAGACTGCCATACTGCGGAGGACCTGTGCGTGGAGGCTGCCAAGAAATGCCGTAAGTGTTTGGATGGCCGTCTATTTAGAGCACCCTAATGCATCTCTCAGGACATAGTGTGCTCATGATGGTCTGTTTTCTTAGCAGTGATGTATCATTTCTTTATACATTTTCAGATGGCAATTGTTTTCAAAGCAAACTTACAATTATTAACACAGAAAGACACCATGGTAAATGTACAATACTAACATGAATTGTAATTTAAACTATTGGAAACTGCTCCTGATGAATAGAATAAACATCATGCATAGTACCTGCATGCAAACCATTCCCAGGCTGGTAATGCACAAAGTACAAGTTATGTAGTTTATTGGTACTTTTTGGTAATTTCATGACTGATTGATGGCATAACTATGATGTTGCATGCTCGTTGTTTCTTTTGCGCATTGTTTATAATTAAGTAAAACTGTTCAGCGCGCTCTGCCACATTTGCATGTGCAATTGAAGAGCGTATGCTACAAGCAAAGTATAATGGCTAGAAGGACAGCAAAGTTTGCATTTTTTGTGGTGAGAGACTTTTTATTTCGTAACAAGTTACAAAAATAACTTTAGAATAAAGACACTGGCAAATAGCCTGACAACATCTCATCTGACTGGAGACACTGAAACAGAAGCACTGAATCAGGACATCGCGTTTTTCTCTGGCACGGTGTCTGATCATTTCACACTAGTGATTTTATCATTTGTTCATTTTGAACGAATCTTTACTATGATTTGGGACTGCCGAGTTGTCTGAGAGAGTGATTCGTTCATTTTGTGTTGACCACGCATGCGCATTGCGCAACATATGGGTTCTGAATCTGTACTGGAAACAGAAATGATTAGTTTATTTCTCTCTCTCTCGCTCTAGCCCCTTTTCCACCAAAATATTTTGAGAGCCGGTTCGGAGCCGGTGCCTGCACGCGAACCAGTTCTTTGTGTTTCGACAGCCAAAGAACCGGTTTGCGGCCGGGAAAACTGGTTCCAATGCCGCACCAACTATTTGCTGGACTAGAACCGTTCTTTTACCACGTCATGCTTACGTCGGGGGCTGGGGCAGGTTTAGATGTGTTCTTAACATCTTTTCTGACCATCGCAAATTATTTATTATTATATGAAACATAAGCAAAGAAGAAAACTGTCACGATATAGAACAAATAAATGGAAAGAAAAAAGACACAAGACAGGGGTACATAACTTATCAGAAAAGATTACATATCAAACGAAAAGATTAAAAGACTTGCATATTTCAATTGTTTCTAAAGTTTTCTTGGTACACGTTAGAGATAATCCCAAAGCAATGTACTTGCAAGCGTTTCTAGCGACGTACACAGTGACGTAACAACATCGTTCCCTGGGCGCTCTAGTCAGTGGAAAAACAAACAGGTTCTTCTGAACGGGTTCGCAAGTTGAACCAACTCCGACCCAACTTTGAACCAGCACCAGTTCCGAACCAGTTCTTTTTGGGTGGAAAAGGGGTATCTCTGAGATCTTTGGGTTCGGGCTCAGTCCGTGTCTTTCGTTCTTCCTGTCATTTCCATTGAGACTATGCTGTCAGAACCTGAAAGAGGGATGATTAGTTCATCTTTCGAGTCTCGAGTTCGGGTTCGGCTGGGTCCGAGTCTTTCGTTCTTCCTGTCGGTCCCATAGAGGCTATGCTGTCAGTACCTGAGAGAGTAATATTAGTTCATTTTTTTTTCATTTTTTTTGAGACGAGTCCTTCGTTCTTTTACGTGACTTGAATAGCCTACTAATTAACAACCTTTTTACAAACAAGCACGTAGTTAATGTGTAATAGTATAGTATAATAGTAGTTAAGTAATATATAATAAAACACACACCACAGATGCACAAAAAACAGTTAGAAAAGAGCCGGACAGGGACAATAAGATGGAACTTTCATTTTTCAGATAATGTATATTTTACATTATTTTGTATTTTAATTTCTAAATATAAAACAATATACATTCAGATGCAGTCAATAATACGAATCTTGATTCATTGTACTTGATGCGAGATACCAGAGGTCACGTGACAAAAGAACAAAGGACTCAAACTCGAAGACTCGAAGAAAATGAACTAATCATTCCTCTTTACGGTACTGACAGCATAGCCTCTATGGGACTGACAGGAAGAACGAAAGACTCGGACATATCCGAACTCGAGACTCGAAAGATGAACTAATCAGATCTCTTTCCGGCCCTGCTGTATCACATGGCACGGCCCAGCAGACAAATCAGAGTCAGACACTGACAATTCGACAACTAATGTCTTGAGACACGAGCGGAGGAGAACAAACCTGATAAATATGAATTTGTAAAGGAAAGAACGTCTCGGATCAGGAGGTGAGGTGAACTAACAGAATCAGACTCCAATAGCCTGAACTTAAGACCCTACAACTTATCAATTAATAAAACATTTCGATTTCTTATAATTTCGCTTTGGCTGCATTACCCTATAGATAATTTTTATTCTTTTTACAAATTTAATCAACATTTTCATAAGTACTAGATGTGTTGGGATATTTAACATGCGATTATAATTATATTATGCTGAAATTACTTGAAAATTTTTTTTTTTCATTTTGCTGAACAAGACTCAAAGATCCCAGTCCGTAAAATTATCCGAACTTCCCACTACTTTTTCACACACGTCTTTCAAAATAAAAGTCTTGCATCAGAAAAACACAATTACTCTGCTTGTTGTTTCTTTGACTGCACACTCTGTGACCCACTCAAAACTGTCTTACGACCCACCAGTTGAGAAAAATTGTGCTATAGAAAGGGAAATGGACTACCGACTACCGAAACACAGGTTTTTACAGATCAAATTCAATAGGCGTATAAAACGGGGCATTCTTCATGCATTCGGTTTCATGTTTTGATGTGCGATTGAGGAATGGGGTTTTTGTACCATCAGCATTTCACAGAATACAAAAGAGGAACTTAAAAGGGTTTTTACTGTTGGTATCATCATGTGACATGAGTGATGAGACATTGACCTTAGGATGAGAAGCACTGCGACTGACTATCCCTGTCCATCCCTTTCCATCTCCTAATAGAACAGCATATCTCTCTATTTGGCTCTTGATCAGTAGTAAGCCACAAAATGGAGCTGGGTTTAAATGTCACATCCAGAATTTCCTCAAAGTTGCGGCCAAAGACCAGAAGCTGGCTTGGACAGTGAGATAGGAAAGGGAAGTTTATATTAGACAAGAAGGCTGCTGCTGGAGAGGAACTATGATGGTGTTTGTTTCATTTTCTTTTCACACCCAGAAGTTAGCCACTGGTTTTACTTCAAAGGTTAGGAATTCTGCCCCCCCCCCCCTCCCCCCCTTTTTTAATAAAATTTTTACTAGGTCAGCTGATAGAGCAGCGCACTAGCAGTGCCAAGGTTGTGGGTTCGACTACCAAGGAATAATGTATACGTTGAATGAACTAAGTTGCTTTGGATTAAAGTGCCTGCCAAATTAATAAATGTAAACGACTGACAAAAAAGTTAAGGAACCTATTTCAAAGCAAAATTAGATTTATCATTTTCTTGTTCTACTTAAACTTATTTTGTTTTAGCTTGTTGTCGGGATTTATCAGTTTAACTTGATGTAGTGATCAATTAAAACTGAAATATTCAAATCGAAAAAAACAAAACAAAACTGTTGACATGATCGACCAAACACAACAAAATATGTAATTTTGAAATATTTCACTTTAATGAAAAATATATATATTTTTTAATTCCTCAAACTTTGCGATCTGACTCTTGTTTTCATAAGGTTTAAAACTAATATTAAATTTATTGTCTTTTTCCTTTTGTACAGGAGATGTTCAACATTTGACACTTTCATGTTATGTTCCAGTAATAGCTTGTTAAATACCTTTAAGACATTCTCATAATCATTTAGCTACCATTTCCTTTTATGTATTAAATCAGGTGGTTATTCGCTGGTGACATTTAACAAACGGTGTATTTTTTTTTTTTTAATGAGCCCCTTAACTGTGCTGATGCACTGTGCTATCTAGTGAGAAAAATGAACCATTTGAATCCGGCTCTAATTTTGAAAATATTTTCCCCCAGACATCTCACCTTTATGCCACAACCTGTTTGCACTGTATGAAGAGAGCCAGGATCTCTGGTATGCTCCCAATCATGTGTTCAAGATCACTGAGGAGACCAGCATCAAACTCCACTACCGTATGAGGTGAGAGACAACAAATAAATGTTTTACACAAAAATTTAACCCATGGCTCAAATTCGAGTTTAAGGACTACAGACTGGACTTCTATTACTTTTATACTGTAGGTTCAATAATAAGAAAGAATTTATTTTTTATTGTGATTTTGAAGAGCGTAAAAATCCTGGACATTTTGTCATTGGTTTGGTGAAATATATCATTTGATAAGATATTTATTTTATTTTAAATTTTAGCTTTTATTTTCCTTCAAATGCTAGAAATGCTCATGGTCTCTTTACAGAGCCCTGTGGTACACCTGTTACAATCCCTATTTAGGACAAAAGAAAAACTTGCTTTTCCAAGCTTGGGTTTCCACTAGAAAAAAAATAAACAAATCGTTTGACAGTGAAAGACATTTTGTTGTTGAGTAAAATGTGAACCTTTGCAAAACAGATCATAGGATCCCCTGAACTTCCCCTTTTCACCAGTGAAACTAAGATAAGAGCCAATTACTGAATTCAAAGCGGGCAGTGGGTACAGAATTGCTGTCTCCCCGTGTGAAGCTTACCTGTTGTGCGCACAAACAGGTTATGGTCAACCTTTGCGCACCCCTCTCTTCCTCTGTGGCATTGAGCACTTTTTTCTCACTCATGCTGTTTCCTGTTTACAATAAGCTCTTGCTCACGTGGCAATGGGGTTGTGTAGTTTTTCTTTTTTCTGTTGATTGTTGACATGATTTGGTATTGCATGTAGCATATGTTACTATAATGTACATAATGTAAGCCTTTGTCAAGATGTTTGTTTGGCATGTTTTTGTTATCAGCTCCTGTCATCATGATTTTATAACTGCATTCATAATCGCACGCACACACTTGAACATATTTGTATACTTGTTTTATTTAATTTTTCTTTTGAAAAATATACAAGGGTTTTTCTTAAACTACTATATACTATAATAATACAAAATGTATTTGAATTTTTTTTTTGACGTAAGTTGACAGAATTATTCAGTTCACTGATATTTACCTAAATTTGTCATTGTTTTATTTATGTAACGCATCTCATATTTAATTTACCATATTGCATGATCTTCACTGCTGCTGTTGCCTCCTTGGTAAACAAGTGCACTAATTTTACAAAAATAAAACCAAAAGTTTAAGTATTTTTTTCACACAATATATATTAAAATGATTAATGTTAAATGTTATAATGAAAGGCATTCGAACGATAGCAATAAGTAAATGAGTACATGTTGAAAATGTTCCAATGTGACCTTCATATAACAGGAAGAAAAAGTTTAAATGTGTTTGTTAGTTTTAATACTAATCAGCTCTTTGGTCAGGAAAGTACCCTTAGTTCAAGCAACGCTTGTAAATTCTTTGACAAATCATTTTAATTGTTTACACAGGTTTTATTTCACAAACTGGCATGGCACCAATGAGTTGGAGTCTCCTGTTTGGAGACACTCACTGAGTAAGAAAGGTGTTTTGAACTCTCAGAAGGGGACTGAGGGGACACCTCTACTAGATGCTGCATCTCTTGATTACCTATTTGCACAGGTGAGTTCATTAAAAACCTGAGATATCATTTGCATGGTTGTCCATGTCACAATGTGAACTTTGAGGTATTTATAATACATATTGCCCGTTTTTTGCCACAGGTGCATTGTGGCTTGATGACTATTTAAATACTCTCTCATGTGGTATCATTTGTTATCATTTTGTTCATTATCTTTGAATTGATATATATTTAAATGACTTTTTTTGGAGCACTGCTACTAATTCAAATATCTCTGGGGCAATGTGAACATTAGTGTCTATTAGCTTGCGTTTGTGATCATATTAAAATTTTGTGCTTGGCATACATTGTGTTCTTACAGTTTTGGTGTGTTTTAGGGGCAGTATGACTTCCTGAGGGGACTGGCTCCTGTGCGCACTCCCCAGAGCGAGGCAGAGCTTCAAGAGATAGAGAACGAGTGTTTGGGAATGGCAGTTTTGGCTATTACCCATCATGCCAAGGGCAATGACCTGCCCTTATCAGGAGCTGGAGCTGAGACCAGGTGACTCACTCAATCAATCTGCTTTATGCATCACATCTGCAAAATGTAGATCTACAGCTATAAGAATGGCACTCCCAAATATTAGTCTTTTATTACACAGCTCTTTGGAATGCTTGATTCTGATTGGTCACATTAGAGAAATTTAGCAAATAAATTATACAGAAGCCTATTGGAATGACTGGATTTTGTTTACAAAATTTAATTTAGCAATGATAATTGTGACCACATCTTTCAAGCAAGTGGTTTTATTCAGGTTTTATCCTTCTCTCTATCTGTAGCTACAAGCGCTTCATTCCGGACAGTCTTAACCGCACCTTTAAGCAGCGGAACTTTCTCACACGCATACGCATCAACAATGTCTTCAAGAATTTTCTCAATGAGTTCAATAGCAAGACCATCCAGGACAGCAACATTACCCTCTATGACCTGAAGGTCAAGTATCTTTCCACTCTGGAAACGCTGACCCAGGGCTTGGGTCGAGAGACTGTTGAGCCTAAAATCCTGAAAGTATCAGGCGAGAATGAGGGCTCTCCGGCACACACACTTCCCTTAGGGGATGACGGACGGGGATATGAGGTGCAAGTATCTGGCACCACTGGGATCTCCTGGAGGAGAAAGTTTGTACCGGTAAGTTTATGTTTTATGGCAGATTATGTGAGTTTACAGATTTGTAATAGCTTACAAGTTAATCAGCAATCTGGATACACTTGGTGTTAGATTTGATGTTGTTTCAAGTGTTGTTACCAATGTGTGTGTGTTTTTTTTTTTTAAATAGAATCTTCTGATAGTGAAAGACAAACCCAAGTCTAAAAAGAACAAGGCTGACAACAAGCAGAAGACTGAAAAAAAGAAAGAAACCGGATGGACCATTTTCTCAGACTTTTACGAAATCACCCACATTGTCATTAAGGAGTCGTGTGTAACCATTTACAGACAAGACAATAAAACCATGGTAATTTTGTAATTTCAATGAGATTTTAACCAGACCAACATCTACAACACTATGTCCTAACCAGGTGTAATTCAAGTCCAGCCCAAGCAGTTAATATATTCATGTTGAATATTATACTTTCAAAGCCAATCAGAACATATTTGATATAATATAATTTTATGTGGATTCTGATTTTGGACCAGTTAGATTTAACAACGAGTCTTCTAATATCCTTCCCAGCATTGCATTGTTTAGTAGAATTTTACCATCAAAATATCTTGTCACATGTTGTGACAAGTTAGGACAAGAACTCTGCACCTGATTAGGAAATGGTAATACTTGCATACAACTCTTGAAAAGCTGATGATTCATACTTGTATGGTTGATAAATAAACAGGATTGACTTCAGAATTCATGTGAGAAAAAGTAGCGGACAGTATAGCTCTTATCATAAAAATGTATTCCTCTTCTTTCCTCTGCAGGAGTTGGATCTGTTTTTTCGTGATGCAGCCCTGTCCTTTGCTGCAATGGTGGACGGATACTTCAGATTGACTGTAGATGCCCATCATTACCTGTGCACTGAAGTCGCACCCTCATCAGTTGTCCAGAATTTAGAAAATGGCTGTCATGGGCCTCTCTGGTATGATATCAAGTCAACATTGTTGATGCCTATGAAATTTTTCCGTTTTCTTTCTCAGCGGTTTAAATTCAATCAAAACTTTAATGACTGTGTTTATGATGATACTTGCAAAGACAGGCATTTTGACATGTAAATATGTTTATTTAACCATTCAAGCCCGAATTAGGTGGCAAAAAGAACTTGCGCGCTCTATGCGCAGCGGTTCCTTCTATTCATCGAAGAATCCTGGAATAAAGTATTATGGTTTCCATAAAAATGATTAAGCATCGCAACTGTTTTTAACAACATTGATAATGATAAGAAAAATTTCTGGAGCACCAACTCACTGTAAACAAAAGTAATGGCTGCTGAAAATTCAGCTTCAAATAAATTGTGTTAAAAATAAATAACTGTTTTTATATTATGTTGAGCATAAAAGACTTCTTTGAAAAATATTAAAAATACCCAAACTTTTGAACTTTGTGATAAATGCTAATTTAATTAGTATTATTTTGTATTATTACAGCTGTCTTCAAAAGAGACATGTTAAGACATAGTTATTTCTGTTTTCTTTGTACAGTACAGAGTATGCAATTCATAAACTCCGTCAGGAGGGAAATGAAGAAGGAACCTACATCCTGCGCTGGAGCTGCACAGATTATAACTACATCATCATGACTGTTGTCTGCATTGAGGTACAAACACATAACATGCATGCACACACCAAACACAAAAGTCTAGTTTGATTTGTACAGCTTAGAACCATTTTGGTAAGCTAGGAACTTAAAACCTTTGTCCTGTCCGTTTAGCCTCTACAGGACAAGTCTAGAATTGCCCAGATTATCTTTTGGTATTCTGTGCAGGAGATAAAGAAGATATGGTTCTTGTTGTACTCTTTCCCAAACCATGACAAATAGTTTGTGTTTATATGATTGATATACAGTGTTTCCTCTACATTCATTCTCCCGTGGCGGGCCGCCACACTTAAAATCCTCCCGCCACGGCTGCAGCTTCTCAGTGACGTCCGATATTCTGCATAGTATTATGTTATTTTGTTAAGCCCCATAAAAGCATGAAAAACTTTGTAAAGCACAATCAAGTTTTCACCCTATATTCCAAGACTTCTAAAGTCATTGTATAATGTGTAATTTTAGTCGCTAAGTTAAAGTTAACGGATAGTCATCTCGCCTCAGTCATTCTTCATTTAGAATTCACACAGCGCGTCGCGTTCGTTTGCGACACGACGACACTCTCTTCAAGGTCAATATTCCCATTATTATACTTTATTTGTAGATAAAGCATAAAGTAGATGGTTTTCATAAAATGACTTTATCTTGCTGGAGTGGAGTTTATTGCCCTTTCACATTCCCTTCTCCCGGGTGTATGTGAGATTACAGCATAGAGTCGAGAGAGTGCTATTGTTCTTCATGCGCACTGAATTTTAAAACTGTTAAAAGAAAAGGCTCAAAAAACTGTTGCATATAGAATACACTAAGCATTAGTGCTGCACGATTAATCAAATCGCAATCGTAATAGCAAACCTATGCAATTATATAACGCAAAATGCCGCGATTTTATATGAAATAAACAAATTAGGGCTATTAACGCAGCATCTCTTCATTTTTGTCATCCTTTGACTAGTGTTACACGATCCCGCTCTTATTCGTGCAAATGCCTTTTCGCATTTTGCACGACAAGAAGTGAAAAGCTGCCTGTGAATGCCCTAATGAGACTCGCAGAAAGACGCGCGCCATAATGCGCATGCACTGACGCGTGCCAGAATACAGTTCTCTTTCGAGCTTGAACGAACAATAGCACACACAATTATGCCAAAATGTCGTTTTGTCGAGTATCTTCATAACGTAAGAAAAGTCTTATGGACGAAAAGAGTTGTGCTATGAGGCGCATGTGAGATCCGCGTCTTGGCAACGGGTGCTCTTAAAGCGCCAGCAGCGAATAAAGCGTTCTGTCAGTAAAAAGTTAAAAGAACAAAGGGAAATTAGAAAATTACTCACTGATCTTGACTAAAGAACTTTTGTAGCTTTAATAAGGATTATTCTATATAATTTATAATTCATGCAGCGCAGACTGTTTGATAACTTTATTCAATTTCTGTATCCTACCTGTTAAGACAGGAAGGGCACAGGTAAATATGGTTTTTATTATGGGTTTATGTGGGGATTGTTTAAAGTTCACTTAATTTAAAAGTTGTTAAAAAATTTTTTTAGCCTAATAATTTTAAAAAAAAAAGTTGATAGCTTTCACTGTAATGATGGTTTGGTTGGTTTATTGATCATTATAGGTGTTATCAATCATTTAGTTGTTGTTTTTAATTTGAGTTGAGAAATAAACATTAATACACAGAATGATCACTAAGCTGTGTGTGCATTTTACTTTAGAACCAAGCAAGTTGGACTCATGAAAGCATTTTATTATATCGGAATCGCTTATCACAATTGCAATATTGACCTCAGTAATGGCAATATGACATTTTCCCCAAATCGTCCAGCCCTACTAAGCATAGATTATAGATACCATCCCTTCGCTATGTTCTTTTCAATGTGAAGCGTTGCGTGCTGTGACTTGGTGTTGCTTCAAGTGCATCATTCTGTACACGGGATGCGCATGATCGATTATAATACTTTGGGGAGACAAGAGGGCGTGGCCTAAGTGAAAATATCCCCCCCCTGCCCCCACAGCTTGGAAAAATCCTAGAGGAAACACTGATATATATTGCAATTGATTCTCTCAAGAATTGCAGCACCCAGTTTTAACAGGAAGTCAGTTGAAAATGCTTTTTCAAAGTTTGACATCTTGCTTGTCTCTTTGTATCTTTGAAAAAACAATTGGACCCGATTAGACCAGGATAATGGATGCATTTTATTACACTGTATACGCAGCTGGAGTAGAACCCCAAACCACGTTGGGACTGTTAATGTTACACACACTGGATCAGAGACTGATGCACTTGCATTGCTTTTCTGTGATGACTCCCTTGTTCAGCATGCTATACAAATATAATTGTTTTGAATGTACCTGAATTGATCAAAAGAAGGTGTGTGAGATTTTTAAATAAGGCTGAATGTCTTAAGTCCCCCTATAGTCAATTTTATCCCATAAATCTCATCTTTAATCACCAAAATTACATATTTAATTACTTCATGTCAACATGAAAGGCCAGAATACCTGATCCACTTGCTCAACTTTTCTGTAGTAAACGCTGCACAATGGCAAGTGGAAATACTGGTTTAATTCAACCTTATATGTTTGAACTAGAAACAAATTCAGAAGAAGTATAAAAGGGGTCATACAGGGTCATCTACAAATCGACGTATCAGAATAGTTGTGCGTTTCATGTATTGCTCTTTACAACATCGTGCACATAATGGTAATTAATATGATTAGCCTTTTTCTTGACTACGTTATAAAATAGCTAATAATGTGTTGGTAATGTTACACAAACCACATTCCCATCCGCCATCTCAGTCTGCCTTTTAAAAATTAATATCCTTAGAAACTCTTGTAACTAACGTCAATTGAGGAATGCATATAGTTTATCGTAACATCGTCATATAAATCATATTCACCTGCTATATTGCCAATTATACCATGGTCTGGGTGAATACTCGATTCTGATTGGCTGCAGGGTGTCCGTTAAAAAGTGATAGAGGACACCTAGTAAAGTAGTTCTGGTGAAACTGCCTGTTTACCATTCGAAATGAATAAATAAATGCGCTGCCCACAACAGCTGTGAGTAACCATAGCAACAGGCAGTCAAAGTATCCGTTAACAATTTGCTCTATCAAAACAAACATCTAACGTTATTCTGCTAAGAACCAATCATATGCCATAGACATAATATCTTGTGTTCTTATTGGCCATGTCACATGTGAGTAATACGATATAGCTCTGGAGAGTTCAAAGTTCAGTATGCATCCAGCGAGATAAGAGTGAGCACTTTGCCTGTGTGATTTTGAGTTAATAAATCCTCATGATAAAACGAATTCAGCGTGCACCTCCTTCCATCGTAATATGAACAAAAGCTTTACAAGTTAGATATTACATAGCCTACTAAAACAACAATGAGCGACTTCGTTTTTTCGTCAGTCTCTCACGGACTGACGGAGCCCAGTAAGTTAAGCCCGCAGACTGCTCTCGCATCGATGTCACCGACATTATTTGATGGATCTCCAGTCCAGCATCGGAGAGTCGATCTACAGCAGTGGTTAGTGTAGACTAGTGTAACACATAGTGTTTTATGTGTAATAAAAAAAAGCATTTTTTAACCTGAAGGGTTCTACAAGCTGAGCGGACTATATCTCAAGTTACTAAATAAATCGTCAGGCAAGTTATTATTTAAAATATAAATAGCCTAATAGCCTAATTAAAATATAAACTAATGTTTTAAAAATGTTTTATTTGGCAAGTGACCATGGTATAAGCGGGTTAATGCCCTCCGAGGTGTCCATTGTCAGGTTTTAATGGACTTCGGCGAAGGGCAACCGTCCTCCGCTGCGCGTCGGCCGGTTCACGCCTCGCCGTCGTCCATTAAAACCTGACAATGGACACCTCGTCGGGCATTAACCCTTACATGTACACGATTGTTAAATTTCAACAGAAAAATACACCAGGATAACCTGATTTTTCTTGAGACTCCCCCGCTTCAGAGAAACTGTGTCTTTTTTTTTCACTGCAGTTTTAAGGAGAAAATTCTCAGAAATGGCATTGACATGAATATGAACATGGTTGTCTTAAAGGGATACTCCACTTTTTTTTGGAAATCATTTTTTTGGCTCATTTTATATGACTCTGGGAGAGGTAAAATTAGCCTATTTCCAAAAAAAGTGTATCCCTTTTAAAGCAAGTATCCCTTTAAAACATATTAAAAAAACCACATAGACATATAAACAACATTAAAAACTTTAAATGTTATCAGCATTATATACTATATAGCTAGTTGCATATAGAAACCCAACACCTCCCCACCAACCAAGAAAAAATGTAATCTATGTTTAAATTGTTAAATGTTAATCTTATCTTACAGTGGATCTGTTATTGGCCACCTAACATTTGTTTAACAAATCCTGTACCCTTCACCATTCTTCTCATACACGATTTCTCTTGTCTTTATTTCCTTTGTGCTTTCTGCCTGTCATGTATTTCTCCTCTCTCGCTTTTAGATGGACCTGTGTGAGTCCAGACCGATTCCCCAGTATAAAAACTTCCAAATTGAAACAAGCCCTCAGGGCTACAGACTGTTTGGGACCGAGACGTTCCGGCCCGCACTAAAGGAGCTTCTGGAGCACTTGCAGGGCCAAAGCCTACGCACAGAGAACCTGCGCTTCCAGCTGCGCCGCTGCTGCCCACCACAACCCAGAGGTATCTTCACTCGTTCGGCTCAATCAGTCACATGATAGAACAGGGTGGCCGCGGGTCATTAAAAAGTATTAAAATGTCTTAAATCAATTTTCCTAAAAAATAAGGCCTTAAAACGTATTAAATTGTCTTAAATTCAGATTGGATAGGTCTTAAATATGTTTGTCATGTCACCGCAAAGATGCATCGTTCTGCCAGCCAGGTCGAATATTTTTTTACGTAAGGGAACTATTCTGTTTATTTTTAAGTGTTTGTAGTATTATTTTATATGGAAATCAATTATTTATAATTCTTATAATGAGAATAAAGTTAGGGTTCATTAAAATTAAGGAAAACAAATATTGATCTGAAATATAGCAAATTAATTTTAATTTATTAAAATTAAACATATCTCAAAGGCTTTTTATAAGTTTAATTAATAAACTAATTATATGAAACTATTATCAGTACACTAGAAATAAACTGGTTCTATGCCTTTATTAATAAAACTAAATCTAAGCCTTTATCAATATACTTTATTATTTAAAACATACAAGGCTTAAGACATTCATAAAAATGCCTTCTTTATTTCTTTTTACTCCACTGTACTCCACCACTGGCGACCGCATGTACGCAATTGACCATTGGTTATTGTCATTTTACCATTTTGAACAGACAGTGTGTTTACTTGGAAATATTACTGTATATTTTCATTTTTTATTTATATTTCCATCGTAAGTTTGGTCTTAAATTTAATTTAGAAGTGGTATTAAAAAGTCTTACATTTAAATTGTTAATACCTGTAGCCACCCTGTAGAAGACCTATACATTACAATTGAGCGACACGGCTAATCCATCCGTATATTCCTGTATCCTAATCATCCATCCATCCATCCATCCATTCTAATCAAACATTCAAATCTATCTATCCCAATTAAACACTTTTCAAGCATTGATTTGACTGTCCGTCCATCCATCCGCCCATCAATCCAGATTAAAGACTTCGTCCGTCCGTACATCAGTCTGTCCATTTGATGTTTTTAGAGGCAAAATTATGTAAAGACTTCTGATTTCTTTCTCTGTAGCAATATGTTCTGTAGGTTAAGCTAAATTGGAAATATGGCCCGTGTTTTACTTTGTTTTAAAGGAGATTTAATACACAGCCTATTTGGATAGGATGGTGTTTTCCAGTAGGAACTCCTGAAATATTCTCTGTGAATGGTCCTGTCTTAAATGGAAACTGAAATCAGAACTCGTTGCCTGAATTGTCAGGATTTCCAGTGTTCAATGTGCACTGCTGAATGTATGCAATGATTTATTGAATCCTAGAGTAGTTATTAAGATGCGAAAATGTGGGTATGATTTACACTTTTGACATGTTTACTAGCCTTTTTAATCAGGAAAAACCACCAACCTCAATTTTGTATTAAAGGGATACTCCACCGGGTTTTCATATTAAACTATGTTATTCCCTTAACTAAGACGAGCTGATGCATACCTCTCTCGTCTCAGTGCGTGCACTCTATCGCTCTGTATTGCCGCAAAACTATGTTAGCACTTAGCTTAGCCCAGTGCATTAAATATGGGCCTAAGAGGACTTTTCACGAGTGAAGGTATTATTGTGCCAAGTTGAAGTGCTCTAAAGCACTTTTTATGGTATTCCGCCATACAATATAGTCATCAATTTGAAACGCTTAGAAAAATAAAACTTTTTATTTTGTGTCACCAGCCTAGGTCGAGTTACACTAATCGAGTAACTGTGTTTAAATAGGGAAAACGAGGAAGTGTTTGGTCGCTTCTCTTTTGGGCCCATATTTAATGCACTGGGCTAAGTGCTAACATAGTTTTGCGGCAATACAGAGCGATAGAGTGCACGCACTGAGACGAGAGAGGTATGCATCAGCTCGTCTTAGTTAAGGGAATAACATAGTTTAATATGAAAACTCGGTGGAGTATCCCTTTAACATTCATTTTCAGGATGACGCATCTGACTATTTTTCAATAAATATACAAATGAAAATTTAGACAAATAAAATGTAAAGCTTAATAGTATAGAAGTACTAATAATGTAAATGGACTAGAAAGAATGTAAAATCAGTTGCATCACTGCTCTAAATCAGTCTTTAAAGCTTATAATAATCTAGTTGACTTAGTTTTGAGCCTAGAACAGGAAATGACATGCCACAATGAAGTAAATAGAATTTGTGCAAATGCAAAAATTATTAAACTTAAAATGTTATGTGTTCTTCATTCAAATCACATGTATTGCTTCAGAAAATTAAATTGAGTTTGTCAGTATGGTATACAAATCTGTGGTCCAGATATAGTTAGAACATTCTTCAGAATATTTATTTTGATGTTTCACAGAATGAAGAAAATTTTGAAACAACATGAGTATGAGTAATGAGAGAAATGACTTTGAAATGTCTTTAATTATAGAAATGTCTAGTAATGTCTTTAATTCTAGAACCATCTCTTATTGTATCTGCTTTCGTTAGCATATTATACTTGCTGTTTGCTAGAATGGTGTATGATGTAGGGGCAAACACAAGTAAATGAGGAAGTGGTGTTAATTTCCATAACATGAGTAAATTATTATTTATGACTCTTCAGTTTCAATGAATTTAGACCTAAGTGAGAGATATTGAGACGATTTTCTAAGTTCACAGATCAATTGAGCAGTCCTGTGAGTTGATGTGCAACAGTGTGACGGAGAGGGTTTTATACACGTCTGCTCAAGCGCAAGTTTACTTCACTATTTGGAATGCATTTTTAATTGCATTACACGGCTGAAAATTCCATCTGCAACACTTTCCAAACTGCATACTTTATGAAATGACTTTCTCGTCTCAAAATGTGCTTTTTTTTTTTTCCTTTGGTGCATCTTCTTATCGTCTAAATCTCAGAAGCATGTACATCTGAACAAGAATCTTACCGTGTTTTTGACTGGTTTGGGCTGAAAGAGGAATTGTTTTTTCTAGTGCTTTGTGTCACAATACTCTTCAGAGAAGTCAAAAATCAGAATGCGCAAACAAGCAGTCATATCTTTGCATGACCTCTGCACAACTATTAGCTGCCAGTTTCGTATCCAGGTTCAAAGGCTGTGTTCACAAAACATTTTATCTTGCAACTAATAGTTCCCCTAAATAACTGTAAAAGTTATTAGATAAGAGTTTCCTCTTAACCTATTCACAAAACTGCTGAGACCAACTTTTTATTAAGCAATAGAGAGAAGTCTTTTAAAATGTAGGCTAAGTGTCACTAAGTAATGTTCAGGTAATTGTCAGCCTCTTACATGTCTGCATCTTGATAGATTGCAGAATTCAAATGACAAATTATGTTTTGTAAACAAAGTGCAGGAGGAGTATGTTCAAATGATCTATCCAAGAAGCTTGAGGCATATATACTATATATCCATCCGACTCACTCAAGTTACCTCGACAGTTTTGGGATGGTTCCTGGGATGGTTCCTATTTTAATAAAAATATAATAGCGATATGAAACCAAAATGTGTGTGAGAAGGCAGAATAGCGACACACCCCTTCCAACTCCGTTATCCTTGCTACCACATCTTTAAATAGTAATTTAAAGTTAACATTATAAAATACGTAGACCTACACCATAAAACTAGTTACGAATAAATTCTTGCATTTAACAGCAGTATATTCAACACCAATATAAATGCTTCAATGCATTTAACACCAATATATTGAAACTTCTGTTTATCCATACTCCCTTAATAAAGGAGTCCACTCCAGACATTAGAAAAATATCAGTCTACACATACATTTTATATTTAATATGAGGGAAAAACACATCCGTTATAGACGCGACACAAAACTTTAACTTTTAGGTGGCAAAAGTAATACTACCCATCGGATGAAGAAAGGTTGGCTCTCCACAGAACATAATTCGTGTACGTATTTATAAGAGAAAAACAACGTGACAGATCCCCGTTAAGACATAAGCGCTCTGAAAGCGGCACTGAAAGACTGCTTTAAAACTTTCACAGAGACATCAAACGAAAGTACAAAGCCTTTCATTAAGGCAATTTCATTTTGTATTAATAGTATCTTAATTTTGATCAATGTTTCATCAACCAATTGCCTGGATTTAATAAATAAGAAGTAATTATTGCAGACAGATAATCACGAATCAAGGCGCCGGCGTGTGAACTGGAGCTCGTCTCATGAGTCATAAGTGAACCGAAACAAGGTAGGCCTACTTGCCTCAAACATCTGATAAATATATCTATAGAAAGCTTGAAATGTGTACTTTTAAACAGAACGGACTGTTCTCTGCAAAGAAAACGGGCTGTTCTCTGCTTATGTAATCCGTATGAAATGTGCATTTCTCTCTGGCGCGTTCACTACTGAAGATCGCGAGTCCGCATTGTTTTTTATAAAAACATAAATGTTAAGTGAAGCCAAGAAACACTGTCTGAAAAACATGTATTTTTTCAGGAAATAGTTTAAGTTCAACTTATAATTTTAGGAGAGAGCCTACATTGTTGACGTTACTGTTAAAAAGGGGTGTTTTCGGCAGCTGCTGAATGTAACTAATAAAGTAACTTGTAATCTAACTTTTAAAATAAAGTAATCTGTAAAGTAACTAAGTTACTTTTTCAAAGTAACTGTGTCAACACTGACTTTATGTCCTCGCAGGTAAAAATCTCCCATTGCTTCATTACAGTGTACAGTGATTTTAGGATTGTTTTGTGATTTGGTCTAAGTGACTGACTAGACCTAAGAGCTGGTTTAAATGCTAAAATGTTTTGTGAAGTACTCTCAGAGCAAACATTGAGACACAGCCATTCATTTTTAGACTTTCTTCTAAATCAGCAAGTTGGTGCTTTTAGCCTTAATGTGTTTTGTGAGTACAGCCCCAGATCCTTTATACAGCTAACCATCTCAAACCTGACAGAGTTAAATGTTCCTGAGAGAGATTATCAGATATCTGCATACCACAGAGAAACCAGGGTCCAAAATGTACTTTTCGCCACAACTGCCAATTGGAGATGAATTCATACATATTAGTGTTTTAATTGATTCAGTGAATCGTATCAGTGAATTTGTGTGCCTCATTATGCAAAAATGTTCACAGAAAAAACTCATGTGTAAAATTTAGTTTAAGATTTGTTATATTGGTGCATATAAATCCTGATATACTTATAGGACAAGTTCCGTATTTTACACTTAAAGGCCCGTTTTAAGTCCAGCAGAATGTCCAAATTTCAATCTTAACCATCGGAAGCGACGTGTAAAATACCGAACTTGTCCTTTAATATACTTCTTCCATTAGTGCTCCATCAGTATTAGCAGTAAAACAACAGCTCTATAGTAATGCAAAAGCAAATATTAGGAATGTTTTGGTTGCGAAAAAAAACGCCTAGTTATTGCACATTAGACAGTGTCAGGGCTTGTTTACATCTGCTCCTCTAAGAGTACATGCTGAGGCATCAGTGACAGGCAGGAAATGTAGTAAATGTGGGTTTCCGTTGTTCACTTCTCTTGATGTCTTTACCCTATTTGCACTCATAGAAACAGAGCTGTGTAGGTCTGTACCCAGATTATGTCAGTGAGTAGACAAAAGAACTGCTGATGCTGCAGAATGAACATCACAGCACACACATACACACACACACTTACATAAATGTTATACCTGCACGTTGACCCACACATGCTCATTGTTTTCATGTAGCAAGTGGTATTTTTTTTTTTTTTTGTTGAACGGTGCACAATGTCACTGCACAACTTCCTCTTCCCTACTCTGTTTAGGTGATGTCTGCACACCAACGCATACTGCATGTTTAGATATAATCTAAATAAACATCCTTGTACAATCAAACCAGATGAAATTTAGTTTTTAAAGCTGGGATCTCAACTATTTAAATGTTGGTCACCAATCACAAATGATGTTCGTCTTTCCTTCAGAAATTTCCAACCTATTAGTGATGACCACAAACCGAGAGCCCGCCCCGCAGAGACAAAATCAAGTCAGCCAGCTGAGTTTCCACCGCATCCTTAAGGAAGAGATTGAACAGGTAATTTTTATTTATTTTATTTTTTTTTTCATGGATTTTAAACCAAAGTCGACTCTTCTTTAGTATGGCGAGCATTTAAGAAATACAATGAAATACAAATATTGTCAAAAATCTACCATATACATTCATAAATGGGCACACGATGAGTAAAAATGCTCTTCCTTACTGACCATAAAACTATTTATATTTTTATAATACTTTTATTGAAGTATACATACTAATGAAATATAAATCATTATACAGTATAGTTAAAAAAAAATTGGTGTCGGTAAGAGTTTTTTTTTTTTTAGGAAAGAGTTAATACTTTAAGTCAGAATGCATTAAATTGATAAAAAAAACAGTAAAAAAAATGTATAATGTTTCAAATGATTTTTGATATTTCTATTCATCAAAGAATCCTCCGAAAAATATCACAGTTTCTGTAAAATATTAAGCAGCACAACAGTGATAATAATAATAATAATAATAATGAAAAAGGCATATTAGTTATATCTGGAAAATCATCTGACACTGAAGACTGGAGGAATGAAAGCTTAAAATTCAGCTTTACCATCACAGGAATAAATACCATTTTAAAATGTATTAAAATACAAATTTACAATTATTTAAAAATTAGTATTACTGCAGCCTTGGTGAGCATAACAACTTAAAAAAAAAAAAAAAAAAATATCTCACCTACCACAAACTTTATGACAATAGTGTGTGATGGATGTTCTCTTTATAGTAGCCAGTTTGTTTACTATGTAAACTATAAGAAAGACATTCATTATAGCTTGATATAGTGGGTCTGTACCTGAAATTGAAAAAATTATAAAAATGGGGTGCTTTTTAAATTAAAGTTTGTTAATTGACTGCCTACTTACTGATGTGACAATGTGGTTTCATTCAGGGTGAGCATTTGGGCCGGGGCACAAGGACAAACATCTATGCTGGTGTTCTGAAGCTGAAGAGTGAGGATGATGATGACATGGGAGGATACTCACAGGAGGTGAAAGTGGTGTTGAAAGTGCTGGGCTCAGGACACAGAGATATCTCTCTGGTAAGACGCACATGGCCTACTCGTGTCTTAATGAAGTTTAGCAAACAAGATTATTGGTTTTAGATGGTATAATGTTACAGTCTCCTGACCCTCTATTGGTTTTAGATGGTATAATGTTACAGTCTCCTGACCCTCTTTCTCTTTTGTAAGTTGCTTTGCATAAAAACACATGTCTACTGAATAACTGTAAACTAATTGTGGTCATTTTCAACTGTAATGAACCATGAAGGGTTTTGAAAAGAATTTTCTCCGTTAGTATTCTGCCATCAGTGTGGTTACTACTTGAATGTTCAAAGTATGTCTCTTTCTGCCTCTTCTCAGGCTTTCTTTGAGACAGCTAGCATGATGCGTCAGATCTCTCACAAACACATCGCACTGCTCTACGGAGTGTGTGTTCGCCACCAGGAGAGTAAGTACCCTACTTTCACTTGTCTGTAATATGTAGCTAACTTGACATCGACCCTGCCAAAATATTCTGGTTGGAGCTGATGATTGCTTTGGCTGGGCAACGATTAATCGCGATTAATCATATCCAAACTAAAAGTTTGTGTTTACATAAAATTCACACACATGTGTATATACATTTAAGAAAAATTTGTTATTAATATATAATTTATATTAAATATAAATATTTGATAGTGTGTGTGTATGTATATATATATATATATATATATATACATGCATGTGTGTGTATTTATATATATACAAAATAATTATACACACCACATACACATATATTATGTAAACATGAACTTTTATTTTGGATACGATTAATCGCGATTAATCGTTGGTTTGTTTTTGATTTGCAATCCATTTCCAGACAGAAAATTTCCAGCACATCTATTAAAGACTTCACCAAATGTTCAAGTTCTCTTATTTTGTGGTCTTTTATTCTGTTTTGGTGTAGTTTTACATGGCAAGTATGCGAAATATGTGGTGGTGTTCTTCTTCCGCCTGTTGAGTTGGAAAGAGCGAGTCACCATAGTCACTGGTGCAAAACTAATTTATTTATTTACTAAGCGGACGTAGAGACATTGTCATTCTCCGACTAATCGTTTTGATCTGACACCCTGGCAGTGTTATATTGCTAATTAATCACAGAGAAATCAAACAATGAATCATTGCTTGAGTAATAATGTAGTTTTAGTAGTTAGTTAAACTAGTCTAAGAGGAGAAAAGTTTTGCTTTATGATTCCATGGCATGTAAATGTTTCATAAATGCTTTTTGTGAGGAAGCTGATATCAGAGCGACATTCGATTGTTCAACAAAGCCTGCTGGCTAGGTATCAGGTTATGTATTTAATTGCAAACTACACTTCCTGTTCCTCTGAACAACAACCTAAATACTCTGAGGATCACCAGCCATGTGCACGCAATGGGTGTGACTGTGTGTTTTCTTAGATGAATTTGCATATTTGAGCTGGAACCGTGTTTGTGTGTCAGAGGAAGAGAGTTTGATAACGGTGTTCTTTTGCATAATTTACTCTCTCTCTCTCTGTAGATATCATGGTGGAAGAGTTTGTTCAATATGGTCCTCTGGATCTGTTCATGCGCAGACAAACCACGACTCTCAGCACCGCATGGAAGTTCCAGGTTGCCAAACAATTGGCTAGCTCCCTCAGCTATCTGGTAAAGAAACTCAAAAAACAAATGCTCAAATCCTTGACTTACCGGTCTTGAAATAAAGTCAATATTTAGGCATGTTTGTATTATGCTGATAAATATGTTTTTGTTTTTACTGAAAACCAATAAATGGTTGAAATTATAAATCTGTAGTACTAGTTGGTAATGGATCATCTACCTAAAAACTAAAATGTTAAATTGGTTTCACACGGTACAAGTGAACTTTTATAACATAACATACATTTCTATTGAAAGGTTTGCTGTTAAGCAACGTAATATATCAGTGAAAATTATGAAGTGTTGTCAGTGAATGTTACTCTTTGACCGTCGTGTTTATCCTGTAGGAGGATAAGAAGCTGGTTCATGGATATGTGTGCTGTAAGAACATTCTGGTGGCTCGAGATGGTCTGGATGGAGAGGGAGGACCCTTCATTAAACTGAGTGACCCTGGCATACCCATTACTGTCCTTAGCAGAGAAGGTGAGAGATTCATTATGACCACCTCATTAACTAGGGGTGGGGGAAAAAAAAATCAATTCTTAGATGCATCGCGATGCGGACGTCGGCGATTCTGAATCGATTCACAAATGCCAAAAATCTTTTTTCAAAAAAAAAAAAAAATGTTTTTTTATATATATATTTATAATAACGTAATATTGATGGAACGCAAAAGACGGAACTCTGAAGCGCGGAAGTGCAGTGCCTGGATCGTCTGTGACGTGCACATAACAGAGACGCGGTGGCGCGCGAGATCCAAACACACTCGTTAAAAGCTGACGTGGAAATATTTTGGCTTCTGAAGTTGAAGGGGGAAAGCAGCTAGACAGTCAAGAGTCACACTAGTTGTAAGTTTTGTAGAATAAAACTAAAATATTTCGGAAACACGACAAATATGAGAAGCCATATGACGCGTTTCCACCCAGAGGAAAAACACTCGGCTGTACCAGTCGTCGTTATATTATTAATTTACTACAAGTATACTGCTAGTTCAGGTACACATTTATTTTCCTGTTGGTTCTTTGCAATATTAATAAAATATATTGTACGTTTATTCTTTATTGGTCATTACTTTGTAATTTTAAAGCAAAGTTTTTATAGTCTCACACACACTCACAAAAGATTCAGATAATCGATTTAGCATCGAATCGCAGCCCTCTGAATCGTAATCGAATCATGAGGTGCCTAGAGATTCCCACCCCTATCATTAACACACATTAATATGCTATTAAAGTGGTCATTAGGCCTGTGTGAATGTTTAAAGTCATCACTAAAGTCAAACCACTTCTCAAACAAAAAAAACTAAATTTATAGGTAGGGGCTTAATTTTGTTCATCGGAAATTGATTGGATGGTTGTGGTTTGCTATGTGAGTGAAAGGTTGTCCCGCCCTCACACTGAAAAACACATCACTGCAAGAGCGAGGGGAAGTTATTTCGACTTTAATTAAAAATAAATAATGATTATTTGCCTATTCGATTTGGATTTCATAGTGACTTTAAGAGGAATGCCATACATAAAGATTTTATTTTGTTGTTGTAATGTTTTAAAAAGTTTAATGGTATGGTGCAATATTTTATATTACAGTTATGATAGTATTTGGTGAAATTAATAGATAATAGTTAATATTGTTATTATAATTAAAATATTACTTTAAATTAGGGCTTTGCAAAAATTAATTGCGATTAATCGCATCCAAAATAAAAGTCTGTGTTTACATAATATATTTGTGTGTGCTGTATATAATTTTGTATATATAAATACACACACATCCATGTATATATTTAAGAAAATGTGTTAATCTATATTATATATAGATTATGTATTTTTATATATATATATATACACATACATAATTTAAGCGCAAATAATTCTTAAATATATACATGCATGCATAGGTATTTATATTAGGGCTGAACGATTTTGGAAAATAATCTAATTGCGATTTTTTTAGCCAATATTGCGATTGCGATTTAATATGCGATTTAAAAAAAAAGTTATTTACCTTCTGTATTAGTCGACAAAGACAAGCAATAAATAATTGTATAGTATGGATGGGAATCTTTAGATAGCTCATGATTCGATCTACTTTTTTTCTTATTAATTAATCTTAATAACTCTTAAAATATGTATTTAATTGCATGTGTAAAAACACATACTTTAAAAAATAAATATAAAAAAAAACATTTAATTAAAGCAATTACATGTTAAGAATTTTAAATAGGCTATATAAAATAATATAGCTTCAAAATATAAAAGCTAGTAAATAAAGAGAAACAACAAAAAAAAAAACATTACAAGCAATAAAGAAAGAGTGGTCTCTGTATTTAAAAGTAGGCTGTCTGAATGTTTTCATTCAAGAGCTGGAGTGATTTCCCCTCAGTTTAGATACGATAAGCTGCATTCACACTAATGCATATATCTCTTTTGTGATATTTTAATGTTTTAATGTGATGTTTTAATTTCGCGTCATAAAAGCATTTTGACATGCAAGTACATTTACCAATGAGTCGCTCACGGCCGCATGCACGCGTTAGTATTTTAAAATGAAAGCAGCCTTCTCAGTGATTTTCATGGTTTTAATATATAAGCCAACTGCATTCCAAAAGACATAAATAATGCCTCTGTGAAGCATTTGTAAAGAAAATTCCCGCGGGAGAGAACGCGCACTGCAAGAGTAACGTTATAACATCAAGCAAAGCGGCAAAAACTGTTCAATGAAGCCCGCGAATGTCCTTGTAATTCGGTTCAATCCCGAACTTTATAAAATAACGTTACTATGTTTTGGAAGGTTCGAGCGGTGTCATGTGTGTGAGTGAGGAAGAGAGAGAGCGAGAAAATAGAAGCAAGCAGATTCAGAACCCGGTTCGTTTCTAAAGCACGCGCAGCGTCACGCATCTGTGTTTAAAAACTAAGCTCAGACTCGATTCTGAAATTCTCTGAATCGATCCAGGATTGTTGAGGAGAGGAGAGAATAAATAACACAATAAACTGTTCTTTTCTGAACGCCAGACCGCGTAGCGTGGCAAGTTGATGCTTTATCTTGCAGACTGCTTTTCTCTCGCGTGTCACGTGACCAGTATAATCGCAGCTCTTGCGATTACAAAATCGCGTTTCATCATATCGCGATTTTATCGCAAATGCAATTAATCGTTCAGCCCTAATTTATATATACAAAATAATTATATACAGCACACACAAATATATTATGTAAACACAGACTTTTATTTTGGATGCGATTAATCGCAATTAATTTTTGCACAGCCCTACTTTAAATAGAATTTTATGTTAAAGAAATTTGAATAATACATGTTATTGAAATTTCTATCACTGCTCACAGAAGGGTCAGAGATTTCGAGCTGATGTATATGCATTGTAATAACCTTGTAAATAGAAAGAGTTAAAAGTGTAAAGTGTTATTGAGTGTGCATCCAGGGTAAATGCACTGCTGTCGATCTGTGAAAATAGACTGCTCGGAAAAGATAACTGACAAGAAATCTGTTGGCCGAGATCCAGCTCTGCTCCCTGAAGCATTTCGGAGACTAGAAAATCTCTTTGTTTGCTGTGTGCCAGGGACAGTTACAGGAAAGACTGGTTGTGTGTTTTTTTGGGGGGTGGTGGTGTGTGAGCACAGGGGAATGAAAGGGGCACAGAGAGGGAGCATACAAGAAAGTGTTGCCAAGGAATCATGTGTTATGAAATGACCTTTGATGTTTGAATGAGGAAATGGTGGTGGAAACCCCCTAAAATGAGGACTATTCAACCAGTACAACCCAGCTTGTGTGTTTGAGTGTTCATTTGAAGCTACTTGATAATGCCATTGAATAACAACGTGCTTTGTGTTTGTCTACAGAATGTGTGGACAGGATTCCTTGGATTGCTCCCGAGTGTGTACAGGACACTGCTAATCTGAGCGTAGCAGCGGATAAGTGGGGCTTTGGGACAACTCTGTGGGAGATCTGTTACAATGGAGAGATACCTCTCAAAGACAAGAAACTCACGGAGGTAACAGTGTACACATTCACTGAGGCATGCATATGATGTGGCACTTTCCTTTCTGATAATATGCTGATAAATGTGTATTTTTGCTGTCATCTCTCTGAGCAGAAGGAAAGGTTTTACGCAGCACAGTGTCAGTTGGCAACCCCTGATTGCCAGGAGCTGGCCAAGCTCATGACCCACTGTATGACCTACGACCCTCGGCAGAGACTGTTCTTCAGGGCCATTGTCAGGGACATTGTCATGGTGGAGGAACAGAGTAAGGAGTCAAGATATACAGTCAGATGACAAACTATACATTTAGTTATAGAATATATTTTGAAATTTAAGCCTAATAGTTTCTCCTGTAGTGTTCTCAATACTGACCTCTTGTGGCTAGTACAGAGATTTACATTCATCTTTGCTTAAAGTACTAAGCACATGTGAATGTTTGCCAAGGTTTCTTTCACCTACTCTATCATTCAAAAGACTGGGGTGAGAAATATTTTAAGTGATTTATACTTTTATTCAGCAAGGACTTGTTAAATGAAACAGTAAAGGAATTGATATTGTTACTAAAGATTTCAGTTTAAAGGGTCATGAAACCCTAAACCAAATTTTCTGAGATTTTAAGGTTAGCATTTTAAGGTAAGGTTGTCTGAGGTTTGAGGTTAGCATCTGTCAAGCATCTGTGAAGACAAAGTTAGCATCTGTTAGATAATAGTAGGGTTAAAATTGTGGTTAAATTTGAGTTTTTCCGCTTTTTTAATAATTATCAAATGCATTTATAGTGTCTATATTAACCACTATATATTTTATAATGACATTATAATTATACATGTAGCCTACATTTAATATGTTTTAAATAAAATTACAATTACTGTTGGCTAATATATGTAGCAGGGCATTCAGTTACTTTTGAAAGGACAATAATAAAGTGGCAGTGTATTTCATAAGACTTTAACTTTGGCCAGCTATATAAAATAATCTTGCATTTCCTCACGTTTTACCACTGCTTTTTAGTGACAGTCGATATCCATGGGACATTGGCGATCACAGTGATGGCCATACCACACCCACTCCCCTCTCTTCTTCTCACAGCTATCCATGCCCATTTAAGTTGCATTTTTCAAAAAGATTGTGAGCTAGACTTGAGCTGAAAGAGGGGGGTTTCATGACCCTTTAAATAAGTACTGTTCTTTTGGACTTCCTATTCATCAAAGAATCCTCAAATATATCATGGGGTCCACAAAAATATTAAGCAGAACAACTGTTTTCAATATATCGCAAGTTTAAGTCGCTTTGGATAAAAAGTGTCCGCTAAATGAAAAAAAAAGGTAAAATATATTAAAACAGTTATTTAAAAATTTTATATTTTAAAGTATTTCTTTTTTTTTTTTTGTAAGCAAAGACAAAAAACAAAAAATCTCAGACCCCAAACTTTTGTATGGTAGTGTACACTGGTTAAAGTTTAGTCTTATATGACTTTTTAATTCTAAGAGAGTGGAAATAGGCTATTTTTTTTCTACTATGCTTTTAAGATGTATATTAATGAGCTCTGTTAGGATTGGATAGTCTCCATAGACTGTATTTGTCCTCACTGTTTTCATTAGGACAGGATAAGTTGCTGCACTTAATAAGCGTTGCATTGTAAACATGTTTATTCATATTTTAATGTGAAGATCAACTTACCTTTATGTGGTGGGTTTGAGAGAAAACATTGCAGTGTAAACGTTTACGTATGTTAAAGAGGAAAAATGGAAACCTGTTTTTTTTTTCCCTATTTTTTTTTTTCTCTCTAGACCCATCCATTCAGCCTGTTCCCATGCTAGAGGTGGACCCCACAGTGTTTGAGAAGAGGTTCCTCAAGAAGATCAGAGACCTTGGAGAGGTATTTACTCTGTCTCTCTCTCTCTCTGTGTTCTGTCTTTAAAGATAACAAATTGCTTATTTAACTGACCATCTTCTGGTTAGACTGAAGTACATCGGTGTGCTTTCAGGGTCATTTTGGAAAGGTGGAGTTGTGCAGATATGACCCGCGGGGAGATCGGACTGGAGAGCTGGTGGCCGTGAAGTCTCTAAAGCCAGAGAACCGAGAAGAGCAGAGCAGTAACCTGTGGTGTGAGATTGACATCCTGAGAGAACTTTACCACGAGAACATTGTTAAATACAAGGGCATTTGCAATGAAGAGGGTAAACCACAATTCTGAACGTCATAAATAATATAATGCTTTAATGGCTTTTGGTGCCAAATGCATGAGTTGCTTGAGCGAATCTTTCCACTTTTTTGTTTCTAGGTGGGAGATCCATTAAGCTCATCATGGAGTTTTTACCGGCAGGCAGTCTGAAGGAATACCTTCCCAGAAACAAAGCTCACATAGACCTTAAAACCCTTCTCAACTATTCTGTACAGATCTGCCAGGTAACACTGAATGTGAATGGATTACAATGTTTACTAATTGTCCTTGACTACTTATGGTAACTTTGCAACCTAAAAAAAAAAAAACCCCAGCACAATACATTGCAGTAAAACAAAAGTTTAGCGTTGTTTTTGACTATCTCGTATGCTCACCAATGCATTTATTTAATCAAAAATGAGTAAAAACAAAGATTATTATTATTATTTCAGGAGCCATTACTCCGGTCGTTAGCGTCACATGATCTTTAAAAAAATAATTTTAATGTGATTTGGTGCTGACCATTTGTTTGAAATTGGCTTTACTGTCTCTTCTGATCAATTTATGTGTCCTTACTGAATAAAATGTTAAAAATGACATACACATATAATATAATGACATATAACATATAATTCTCATAATTCATTTGGTAATACCCACACTACATGTAGGTACCAGCAATATATTCATAAATATGTCCATTTGCTTTCCACACAACTTATTTTTGCTCTGGTTGTTTGTTGTCTTTGAGGCCTTGTACTCTATAGACCAATAATAAAAACAACAGCTGCTGCTTACAGCGATCTTTTGTGTTCTCATGCTCTGGGTTTCTGTTAGTAAACAGATCTGCAGTGTAACATTATGCTCAACCCTGCTGTTTTCTGACCTCTAACCCCAGGGCATGGACTACCTGGGCTCTCGCAACTACATCCACAGAGACCTGGCAGCCCGCAATGTTCTGGTGGAGAATGAAAGCACGGTCAAGATCGGAGACTTCGGCCTGACCAAAAGCATTAAGGATAATGAGGGTTACTACACGGTGAAAGACGATCTGGACAGTCCAGTGTTCTGGTAAGCATCACTCATAAGGATGCTGTTATACAACAATGACCAAGTATATTAAGCCTAAAATGAACCATGTGCATTGGTAATGATGGAATTATATGCAATTTCATTATGGAATTGTGTATAATTATGAAATGCCCCTGGACAATCCATTTAGTAATGATTCTTTCCCTACTTTTCCCAGGTATGCTCCAGAGTGCCTGATCCACTGCAAGTTCTACAGGGCGTCTGATGTCTGGTCTTTTGGAGTGACCATGTATGAGCTCCTCACGTACTGTGATGCCTCGTGCAGCCCTATGTCGGTGAGTGTCCAGTCATCGTTTTAGTTCCATCAAAAAAATCACACTCCACGACCCACTCAAAAGGTTCTTGTGACTCACCAAAGAAACAACAACAAATGTAAATTTGATTTTTCTGATGCGAGACTTTTATTTTGAAAGATGTGCTTGGGAGCTGTTGACTCTTCTGTCAGACGCAGTCGAAGTCTGCCTGAGGAAAAACCTGTTTCGATTCAGTATTTGCAGTCAGATGAGATGTTGTCATGCTATATGTCAGTCAGTTTTCAAATGTTATTTTCGTAAGCTTGTTACGTAATAAGTCACTCACCTCAGAAAAACTATCAGCCTTTGTCCTGCGCTTGTACCACGCACTCTTTAAAGTCCCTGTAAAGGAAAGTCTAAAAAAAATAAATGTTAGAAATGTATTGCTAAAACATTTTACAAAGACTGTGAACTGTGCAGTACTGAATTTTGGAGTTAGACTGTTAAACAGTTTTTCACCATTGCTATTTCCCATTTTTCCGAGCTCCTGGACACGCCCCTACTTGATGACACACTGAGGCTGGTCCCTCCCCTGACATTAGAGCACATTCGCATAAGTTTGGCGCTTAAGTTAGTTACTACAGCCTACAGTTCGCTAGCTAGCTATGCCTTTGACACAGTATGTGTAAGCAACTACCTGGATGGGATCATGTACAAAACAGTGTCTTTATTTAAGTTCCCTAAAAACGATCACATCAAGAAGAGGTGGATTAATTTTGTGAAGAGCCAACCTTGATGGAGCGCTGAGGATCACCACCAACACCCGCCTCTGTAATGATCATTTTACACAGGATCGTTTTATAAACTTTCCTCAGAGACAACTGGGATTCACTGATAATCCACTGTTACTGGTAAATTGTGCCGTACAGACTTTCTCCCACCTCAGCGTCCCGAAAGCACAGAAATGGGTGTGGTTTCAGCACAGCCAGTGGACACGCCCCCAGCATTTGAGCAGAGAATAATGCAATTTTTTTTTAAAGATTCTGATAACTTATTTTATGTACTTGCCATCTTTTTTATCATTAAAATTGGTCCGGGTGGCTAAGAACACATTTTTCTGTGGTGACAAACTCAGAACACTTAATTTTGACTTTACAGGGTCTTTAAATGCACGGGAAAATGCTGCAGTACGCGCTGTATATTACTTGATTAGAAATAAAGAACAAAAGAAATTATGAGCATGCAACGTCGTACTTATTTTGTCAATTAGTAAGTCATAAAATTTCCAAAATGTACCAATAAGTTATGTAACTTGTACTTTGTGTTAGCTGGGAAGGTTTGCCACGCAGGCATGATGGTTATTCTATTCATCAGGAGTCGTTTCCAGATGTTTCATTAACAGTTCATGTTAGTATTGTATATTTATCACGATAACTGTGGTTTCCATAATCCCAAAATGCCACTTTATTTTCACTTTATTTGTTTTTTTTTTTCATTGGTGGCTTTAAAGAAATAAAAAAATACAACATTTTTTATTGCATAACAATAACACAAATAAAGGAAAATAAAGTTATAGATTAAAAGGAATACGAGAGAGACACAAAGGCACAAGAGGATTAAAATAATACCACAAATATTAGTAATATCACAGTTCCACACATTGGATAGACTAATGCAGCTCTATTTATGCAAATGTATTTTGTAAATATATCCTATGTAAGTGTTTTACTTTTGATTGCATTTCTAATTCAGTGTTTGATTATACACAGCAGGAGGGTAACACAGATTTGTTGCGAAGCAGAACTGAGTACTTCTAGCACACTTTGAAAGCCCATATTCATTTCTGTAGGCTGAAAGAAGCTCTTGTTTAGGAGGTGCTGGTGAGTCTGGTCGCTCTCTCTCTGTCTCTGAGAACATGGCAGATGGTGTCAGTCTGTGCCCACAGTGGCAGATGTCTTACCCAAAGGCTGCAGTAGACGTCTGCACACCAATCCTCACTTTTTATTTTTTCTTGTGCCTCTTTTGGAGGGAATGTCTGTTCTGAGGGTTTTGTCCGATTTTCACATTGTACACAATACAGACGCACAATGTATTGCTTCCTCACACACTGGACTCATTAAAGGGTTAAATGTAGTTTGCTTGAGGAGTCGTGGATGAATGTTTAATACCTCAATCAGGCCACTGACCTGACTTTGCTCCACCCCCACAGGTGTTCCTAAAGATGATTGGTCCAACACAGGGCCAGATGACTGTTACCCGATTGGTCAAAGTCCTGGAGGAGGGGAAGAGACTTCCGAAGCCAGATGGCTGCTCAGAAAGGGTAATATACGTACATATATATTTTTTGTTTTAGTAAAGCTATATATTTACAATACTATTGAAAAGGGGTCAGTAAGATGTTTTTTTTTTTTAATTAACCGATTCCTTTATTCTCACTTTTGATCAATTTAAAGCATCCTTGCTGAATTAAAAGCATTTATATTGTTACCAAAGATTTATATTTTAAATAAATACTGCTCTTTGCACTTTCTATTCATCATAAAATTCTGTTGGAATGTATCAATGTTTCCACAAAACGATTGAGCAGAACAACCGTTTTCAAAATTTATTGTAATAAGAAATGTTGCTTGACCAGCAACTCGTCATATTACAGTCTTCGTGATACTTCTGAAATCATTATGAGTAATGATGCTAAAAATTCAGCTTTACCATCACAGGAATAAATTACAATTTATAATATATTAAAAAAAGAAAACAGCTATTTAATTTAATTTGAAATAATATTTCACAATATTATTGTTTGCCTTGGGGAGCATAAGAGAGAAAAAATACAATAAAAAATATTACCGATCACAAAGCTTTGAACAGTAGTGAATGTTACAGGTCATTTTAGTATGTAATTTGATGTAACCTCTCAGATTTTAAGTAATGATACAGAATTCCATGGAAGTCAGTAACTGACAGTATGCCAAAGGTGGGAATAAACCTTCAACCTTTGAGCAAATATAATCAACAACACCTTACAACATCACTAAACAAGAATATAATTTATATTATGATTTCAATTTCAGATATGTTTTGATGGTTTGAAGTTTACCTTATGTTGAGGTGTTATTTACAAAAAAGTATTTTTTTTTTATTTAAAACATGTATTTAAATATGTATAATTGTATTCATGTATACATTAAGTATGCTTTTTTGAATTTAACTAAATGTGTTATTGTTTACTTTAAAATATATTCTTTAAATATTTTATATAAAAGGGCTGTTGAAAAATTCTATACTGTGCAATTATTTTCAGGGAAACCCACATTACAGTTCCATATCACTTCAACTAATTTCAGTTATTTCAGACTACAGCAACAAAATAACCAAAAAACACTGACCAAGCAAATAAATAGTAAACATTAGGATAAAAAAACAACAAATTTATATCATGTTTTTTGGCCACACAATGTTTAGGAAAGCACATACTCTTTCTCCTGCTCACTCCCACTTCCGCTACAGTACGGACATACACACACCGAAATCTGTTGTCGGCGCTTCTCAAGGCCGCATTACCACCTCGGGGGTGCATTATTTTTCCAATAATTCAACAGCCCGTCGTCAATTATTCCTTCCTTATTTGTTTTTACAGTTTATATATATATATATATATATATATATATATATATATAATCACACTATTTGTTAGAACCATTTCCATTTAGCACATAAGTAATCTTCTTGCATCCTTTTGTTCTTGCATTATGCATTACAGAATCCCGTTTCTTTGATGCTGGTGAAGGTTAGATGATTTAACGGCAGCTAAGAGCTGCACTCCAGGCTGTGTGTCTCTGATTGTGATCTTTATGTTTTGACAGTTGTACAATCTGATGAGGAAATGCTGGGAGGCAACACCTGAAAAAAGGATCGACTTCAAAAGCCTGATTGCCAACTTTCAGCAGATGCTTGACAATCAGTAACGGTGGAAATAAGATGGGATACAGACTCCACCTCCTTTGCAAGAGACAGTCCCATAGAGACAAAATCCCCAGAAAAAAAAAACAAAACAAAAAAAAGTATAACTGCAGTGTAGCACTCTTTCAAATATACTCTCCTTTTTACTGTATCCCTCACATTATGGCCTCATAGAATCTATAAACTGCTGGCCATTTGAAATAGCCACAAAGAAACTGCTAGAACCACCGAAGCGGGCAGATGAGCACTGCCCGGCCTCTCTTTGAATATGCAAACATGTAACTGCCAGTTCGAATCGCTCATTTTTCTCTTCAAGTTCAAATGCAGACCTGATTCGTGCACAAAAAATGAGGCGAATCAGGAATCTGACACACTCGGCTCCTCTGCTTCATGTTGTGCCTCAGTGTCACATCAGCCACAAAGATGCATGTATGAAAAACCCATAATTTCCCAAGGTGCATTACAGCAAGTTCTGTATGGAATCTGCCCATTGTGAGGCATACGCATTGAGAGAGACTGACCCTTGTTGCGATAAAAGAGGACTGTTGTTCTTTGGAAGTTGAGGAACGTGTCAGAATGTAGATTTACATGTGTGGTCCACGGTTTGGAGCTTTAATGAGTGAATGTCGAGTGGAATGTGCCTGCTCTCGTGAGACGATTGACGTGCAAAGCATGTTAAGCGCTCACAGACTGCTGGTTTGTCTGATTTGGAGCGGACAGCTGTCCTCTTAGAAAATTCCAAACGAACGTGCAGGATTCCCGGAGAACTCTGAAATGTCACGCGCCGGTCAAGATGCTTACGTTCTAAGGAATGTACTTCCTCCCTGAGCTTCACATTTGCCATGGAAAAACTGAAGAGGATAATTCTGAGAACAGCATGTGGAAGGATAACCGTTATGGGTTTAATGAAATGCCCGAAATAGGCACTAGGGGACAGTAGAGTTTATGAAATATCTCAAGAAAAATTCACATTATGTTGTGCAAATTATATTCTGGGCTCAGCTAACTTTCAGAAACTGATTTAACTGTCAAAAAAAAAAAATATATAGTATTTTATCTGTTGTTTTTTATCAAAATGGAATTAAAAAGTGATTAACATGATGTTTCTATAGGGGATATTTTGTTTGTTTAAAGACGGATGCTGACTTGAATGAGGAGGATCAAGACTGAAATTAGTTTTTCGTCTTAAACGCCTTAGTCGTTATTCGTACAGTCAAAGGGAGGCTAAATATTCAAAGACACACTAATTCCCATCTGATTATCAGATTATGGTTAATCCTCACACATGGTTCCTGAAAAGGGAAAATGATTCATCTCCCTGAAGGAAGTGTCACATGGTTTTACACTGAAGGAATTGTGAAATGTACGTTGTTGCGTTGGTATCTACGCCTCCACGGTGGCCACAATGGAGTTGGTGGTCAAAAAAGAAAAATGATGAAACAATAAGACTTTTTTTTCTGCCCTTTAATGTGGATTGCAAAACAATTCCATCAGCTCAAAATGAAACCCAAACCTATTTTCCTCAAAAAGAATGACAACAAAATTGTATTGAACAGGGTACATAAATACACATAAATAAATACATTTTTTTTGTTGTTGTAGTTAAATACTCAAAAGTATTGAGCTCTGAAACATCTACTGAAAAAAGAGAAAACAGTTTTTTCCTTGTATTGCAGGAGTATACGCATGCTTCCACGGTTTCTAAAAATAGCTTATTCACAGTAAAGCAATATCAATAGAGTTTGGATTATAAAATATTGCAAAATTTCAATTCAAGGTGAAAAAAAAACCCTACAACCTTGTAAATTAAAAACAGGCTGCAATATGAGTACAAAGCACAATAGTGTTGATAACCCTGCATGTTTGAACAGGCGTACCTTCTACATCATTAAGAGACACTTCAGTATTGCAAAGCTTTGAGATACAAGTGTATGTACACATTGATAACATTCAAAGGGGTAAAAGTGACCTCGCAACGAGTGGACAGATGTGGGGAATCGGAAAAGTACTGAAATACAAGGGGAACATCAAAAATGGTAAGAAATACCAGGTTTCGTAAATGCAAATAGGCACAATTTTTCCATCCTTCAGCTTTCAATAGGAACACTTGAAAGATTCTTTAATAATCATTGTGTAGTTTTATATGAAAATAACTGGAATAACCAGTCAAACCTCTCTTTCTGCAGTTTGGAGCAGTGGTGTGGCTGAAGAACAGGAGAGAGAAGACACATGAGAAGGTGACCAGAAACACATGCTTTATAATCCCTGTAGTGTGTCATTCACAACAAATACGATTTCTGATTCCTTAGAAACAGTCAAACTGAACTTAAAAAAACACAACATATTCTTAACCATTTCTAGTATTCCCTCGAAAAAAAACAAAAAGGCCTCTGTGATTATAAATGGTGGTTTTGTGCTGAAAGTGGGACGCAGAGCCTCAGGTACAGATGTAACGTTGGGATTGTCTTTATACTCGTCATAACACAATAAAGCAACATAAATAGGACGCAATAACAGAAGCTCCTCCTCAGATGTATTGTCAGTCTGTTGTGGAGGGGAGAGAATGGCTTTCAGCGAGAGAACAACCAAGTGACAATCACTTCAAAAGCGTCGGGGAAAAAAAAGAATCACAAACGGATGAACGCGCCAGGCAAACGTCTGTACGACTAGTGAGCAACATCATGGTATGCTGCAAAAAATCCAGTTCTTAATGGGTTTCTGTCATGTTTACCACTAATAATATCTAAACAAGCTCAATTCAAAGTAAAAGGGATTGTTCAAAAGTCTCACTACTCGCCACCCTCATGTCCTGACTCTGTAATCATGAACTGTTTTGTCTATACAATGAAACTCAATGTGGTCCAAAACCAAATCTGACTTCACTTCCATTGTATGGATCAAGGTTTTTTATAGTTAACTAAATTGTTTTTTAATTGAAATGAAGATGAAATTAAAAATATTATATATAAATATTAGATGAAAACCTTAAATTTGAAGTGCTAAAATTGCTATTAAAAAAAGCCAAACAGAAAAATGAAGTTAACAAAAACATGACGGGTATTAAAATGGAAAATTAAAACTGAAAATATAAAAGATAATATACAAAAAAAAAAAAAAACTTTCCACAAAATAAAGTTAAGTTTTGAACAACATGAGGATGGTATAGCTTTTTTTTTTTTTTGGTGAACTACTCTTCATTTAATTTTTTCCATTGGGAGACTTGTTCGTATCTAAATTTAGTTAAAAAAGTGCCTCTTCAAGATGCATTATCTTAATATCTCACTTAATTTGCCTCATCTTTAAGACTGATGCGGATTAAAAACAGGATTTTTGCAGCATGAAATCACCAGAATAATACTCTCTCCAATAAAGATGTGAAGAGATTAAACCACAGAATAACAGACGACTAATATCCATATAAAGGCATTATGCTAGATTATTACCATGTGGGTGTTTACATCAGGACGTTTTGCCAGGTGTGTACCCAATTCGTAGCATCCCTCCGTTCCGACAGATTATTACTACTACTATCTTAATATATTATTACTCTTATTGAAAACAAAGCACTGGCAGCATTGTAGCTGAAGGTTGTGGAAAGGTCACCTTAAAGTATGGTAGTAGTTTGTCCAGAGAAGGTAGAGGTTATTGCCTTAGCCATGTCTTCTCTGAGCGCCATGTTTTAAGGCTCCTGCAGCGTTCAGTTCATGGCTGATCATTCCAACAGATACAGCAGTATGTACAGAGACACGTTAAAGATATGAACGTGCGATGTGCAGTTCCTTTACGCGTAGGAAAGCGGCTTGATAGTCAAGATAAACGATGACGCATTAAGCGAGACGTAATATTAATAATATTTTCAATGTCTGTACACGCTGTAAAAAATACACTCATTTTGCAGAATATACAATGTACATTGGCTAAGCCCTACCCTGTCAGGGAAAAAAAAAAAAAGAAATCTTTGAAAAGTGTTATTCTCTGAGTGTAGCTCTATCTTTATCAGCCCTTAACCGGTAGTACAGTAAAACACAAGACACGAAAGCCCCCCCTTCAGGAGTGGAATGGTACGCCCCACCTGCGAGAGAGGTAAAAAGGCAGAACAGAAAATACCGATTAACTAAACAATCTTGAGAGGTCCGGACAGTATTAAGAACAGTACCAAGATACACGGAAGGTTCAAGAATGGGAATAAACCTCCTTCTGCACAATAAAATGTACAATCTTTTCATAAATATCAGTTATGGACTAAAAGTTAAGGCCTGGACATGACAGTGACAACATAACGGCTAGGTGTGAGAGCGAGTGCGAGTTAGATCCTCTTCTTCTTGAAGTAGTCTGCGTAATGGCCGCCGAGACCCTGCGAGTGTTGGCCTACATACTCTGATGTCACTTCCTGTGTAGGCAGTGTCGGGTATTCTCGCTTTTGCCCTCTAGCCTGACTCTAGGAGAGAAAGAAAGAGAGGTTCATTATAACAGTAGGAATTATAGTGATTAGGATGATTTCACCTGTTTGATGATGATGATGAGGATGTACATGACTCACTGTATGTTTGAGTAAATGACTGATGGGTTTTTTGTGTTCCATACAGTAAATGAGTGACGGCGTCTCCCTCAGCCCACACACACGTCTGAGGAATTTTCTCTGACTCTCGCTCTACGATAAAGCGCCTATTGTTGAATCAGTGAAGTTAGAGGTGTTTATCTCTCGATGTGTCAGTCTTTTACTTCCAACTGAAGAATAACTGACGTTACTGCCAGACTCCTACTGGTTTTCATCTTCACCAACAAGCAGAGCCACACACACACCATATGTTCAGTTGACTGAGCTATCTATCTATCGTTCTATCGTTTTATTTATCAATTGTTCTATTGTTTAAGTTATAATATTATTATTATTACCTTACTTTCCTTTAATGGGGTTTATAGTAGAAAAATGTAAAATCACATTTTGACCAATTATGACTGTAATGATGCCTTGTATTGGCCTCGTGAAACACCTAAAAATCGAAATTATGTAATCACAACAATGCAAACTAATGTGATGTTGCAATGGCTTGGAAGATATATATATATATATATATATATCAGTGGCGTATCCAGGACATTTTTTGGGGGGTGGCCAAGATGGGACACAAAGCTAGAGTGGGGTGGCCATGGCATAGCGAAGTTAAATGCGTATATGTACGCAGCCGACCATGTATCAAATCCCGGTCCTTTGCTGCATGTCACATCCTCTCTCTCTCCCATGATTTCCTGTTTCATAACTGTCAAATAAAGGTGTCTATCCTATTAAAAACAGTCGTAACCACCAATCACAGACAGTCCTCAAGTATCTCTGGTTATTTTAACATGTCTGTTTTTAATCAGTAATTATGGTCAGGATAGGGTAAATATTTTCTAAGAACTATTTTCTTGAAGTGGATTTAAGTCCTTGTCACTTCACAAGTTAGATTAGTTTCTGCATCAGAAACTAATTTTTCTGATGCAGAAAAATTAGTTCACGCATTCATGACCTCGAGACTAGATTACTGTAATGCTTTATTAGCCGGTTGTCCTGCATCCTCAATAAACAAGCTACAGCTAGTACAAAATGCAGCTGCTAGAGTTCTTACTAGGTCAAGAAAATATGATCATATAACACCGATTTTATCATCTCTACACTGGTTACCTATTAAGTTCCGTATCAATTACAAAATACTGCTACTAACCTATAAAGCCCTAAATGGTTTAGCTCCTATGTACTTAACGGTAGGGGTGCAACGGTACAGATAGCCCACGGTACGGTCCGTACCTCGGTTTTTGGGCCACGGTCTCGGTTCGGTTTCGGTACATGTTTTGTGCAGAAAGAGACTGCTATTTCATCCCAAAAATATGTTTTATTTTTCTTATGAGCATAAACAGAATGTCACAGTAGGAAGAACATCAATGTGTATGGAACAAATTAACACTCTAGTCTAGTCTGTACTGGACAACACTAAGCAATACAACCTCTTCAACTACCACTTATGATATACAAAATGTAAACGAGCACACTTTAAAATATTCAAGTGGATCCCAATTCCAAACCTTGATAACTGTTAAATGAAGTGATCAATGTGAAAGAAAAAGTGCACTTTTACCTTTAACATAAATTAGCTTGTGGTTTGAATAAATAGAGCAGAGCAAAATAATATAATAAAAAAAACTGCATTCAGGATACAAAGTGCAATGTTATTTACTCATCCACTTTTGAGAGATTCTTGTGCAAAAATATACTGCAGTCAAACATTTGACTGGGTTTGCGTTATGCATCCACTATGTGCTGGGAATGTAGAGAGTAGGCTACGTGGAGCCGGAGGTGAGGCGTTTATTTAGTAAGCGTGAGCGCGCTGGGGTGGGCACGTAACTTACATTCGCAGCCTGACTCATATATGAGTATTGTGAGTAATGTGCGGCGGCTCACTAACAACAGTTGGCTGTTTTGAATAAAACGACCCGTGTGAACGGGGAGCGCTTTATGAACATCTATGACGCGCGAGCAGCACCGGTCTGTTCGTGTGTCTGTTAAGAGTGAGCGCTCGTGAGCGACACACACATAACATGATTTACGAGGTTGAGGTTGTGACAAAGCGGGCATAAGCTGGACACGAGCGCGAGTTCGCGGGCGAATTTAATAACGCGGAGCGTTGTTAACTAATTGATCCATATATAGTAAGGCGCTCCGGAATATAAGGCACACTGTCGTTTTTTGAGAATATTAAATGCTTTTAAGTGCGCCTTTTATAGTGCGGAAAATACGGTTAAAGGATCAGCACGAACTCTATGGCAGAACCGAAGTCCCGCGGGACACGAGGTTAGATTGTCCCGTGCAGGGCAGACCGAACGGTCCGGGATTTTACCGTGTACCGTTGCATCCCTACTTAACGGATCTTCTTTCGCCCTACAATCCACCGCGTTCCTTAAGATCACTAAATTCAAGGCTTCTGGTCATTCCTAGGATATCGAAGTCCACTAAAGGAGGGAGGGCGTTCTCGCATTTAGCTCCAAAACTCTGGAATAGCCTTCCCGATACGGTCCGAGGCTCTGACTCGCTGACACAGTTTAAAACTAGATTAAAGACGCATCTCTTTAGTCAAGCATTCACATAATGTCATTCACATTTAGTCCTCTGTTATGCTATACCGGAACCGTTTGCCACTGAAACGCATTTCCGCGACAGTGGGGCTCGACAGCCTTAGTCAAACGGGTCGGCGCGTATGGTTGGGTTGCGGAGAGTTCACGTTACGGAGAGTTTGTGAGATAGTGGTTTCTAACACCGACTCCCGTATAATGGAAATCATTATGAACATCAGCTATGCTAATTATTTCCCATCTGCCTTTCTGCTGTTATCTCGGGACGCTTGTCCCGAGAAAAATGGCGTTCGTCAGGTCCAGTTTTGTCTCCAACATGCTTATAGGACCTTATTAAAAAGTGTATCTGTAAAAGCAAAAGAAAAAACTAAGTTTGTGAGGAAAAAAACAAAATATTTGTTGTTCTTTACATGTTTAGTTTATGTTATTATTTAGCTTAGATATAATTTGTTAGAGATACTGGAATTTGAATTTCTTATTTTGTTCTTTGCCAGGAGTGTTTTTTTTTTTTAACCACAAGAGGGGACTTAAATAAGTAAAGCAAACACAGGTAACACAGAGAGTGGCCTGATGACTGAATAATTTCATTAGGATGCCTTGTGATGTATGAAAATGTGCAAAAAGTGTTTTTCAACCCAGACAGTATTCATGTCCAAGGCCTTGATGAAAGTATAAATTGAAACGTTGGCTTTGATTCAGCATACATTAATACGTTTTTAAAATCAAACAGTTAAGACTCAAAATCATAAATAGTCAAGATGCTTCTTCATAATTTAACTTATGACATTTGTGCCATTTTAATGCAATTTACTCTGCCTATTTAAACTTCTAAAAATATATGTGGACTGTGAAGATAAGCTAATTGATACAAACAAAAAGTCCTTTTTAAACTCCCCTTAAACCACAGAGCAAATAAATAAGTCACAGCTTGTTTTTTTTGTGTTTTAACTTAAATCTACTGTCACACTATATTTAACACACTGGTTGGCGAAAAATATAACATTAGCTATAATTGAACACACACATCTGCAAAAAACCACCATCTGTCTTCCAGAAAATAGCGTTTTATTTTCATGGCGATGTATGAGTGGAAATAAGGTGTGGCCCCTTTAAGAGCTGCACGCGTCCTCTTTACCGTCTGCACTCTCTCAGATGCTAATCTAGCTAGTACAGTGTAGTTCGACTTTTTCAGTTTTCCTACACATTCACAGGGAACTACGATATAACTAAACATTAAATTACCATACCTCTCAATCTACAGATTCCCGCGTTTTTATCGTTGTATTTGTTGCTGTTGTAAGACTGTCCACCTGTTTCACGGAGCAGCAGCCAGCGTGCGCATCTCATTAGTAACCTGACCTGCATGGCCAAACGTCCGCTGAGCAGAAATCAGCTCTCAGAGCCTCAGTATGACTATTACTGTGTTATTAAAAAAGGTAAAACTGGACCTAAATCGGTTGATAAGCTGTCACCATTGATTGACAGCATTTTTCTTGTTTCTTGTGTTGACGAACTTGACCAACTACCTATCAGATCTGGGGTGGCCACAGGGGTGGCCAATGAGCTTTCAGGGGTGGCCCTGGCCACCCCAGGCCACCCCCTAGAATCGCAAGTGCCTCTATCAGAATCCAGAGTTTTGAGAAGATTGGGGATACTTAATTTTTCGCCCAAAAAAAAAAAAAACGTAAGGGGTAACACTGTCGTTTTTTTTTTCTGGTCGAAATTTTGAATTTCGATATCTCAGCTCTGGAAGGGTCTAGAGCCTCCATTGTTGCACTCAGGTCTAAGTCTCATGGCCTCTATCAGAATCCAGAGTTTTGAGAAGATTGGGGATACTTAATTTTTCAACCCAAAAAAAAAAACGTAAGGGGTAACACTGTCGTTTTTTTTCTGGTCGAAATTTTGATTTTCGATATCTCAGCTCTGGAAGGGTCTAGAGCCTCCATTTTTGCACTCAGGTCTAAGTCTCATGGCCCTCTATCAGAATCCAGAGTTTTGAGAAGATTGGAGAAACTTAATTTTTCACCCAAAAAAAAAAAAAACGAAGGGGTAACACTGTCGTTTTTTTTTTTTTCGGGTCGAAATTTTGAGTTTCGATATCTCAGCTCTGGAAGGGTCTAGAGCCTCCATTTTTGCACTCAGGTCTAAGTCTCATGGCCCTCTATCAGAATCCAGAGTTTTGAGAAGATTGGGGATACTTAATTTTTCGCCCAAAAAAAAAAAACGTAAGGGGTAACACTGTCGTTTTTTTTTCGGGTCGAAATTTTGAATTTCGATATCTCAGCTCTGGAAGGGTCTAGAGCCTCCATTGTTGCACTCAGGTCTAAGTCT